GTTTGACTCATCTTCATCACCACTAAATTTTGGTAAAGGTTCATTCGTCACCGACATCTTGATATTTTGTGGTTCCATGCTTGTTTGAGTGCCATCAAGGTCAGACAAGAAAGTGTCATTCAAATCAATATCAGTAGAGGAATTCATCTCGTCAAAGGCTTGAGTATGGTCTGCCTCCATTTCTCGTCTTTTGGCCATCGCTCTAGTAACAGCACAGGCTGGATAAATGTCATCATCTTCATCATCGCACATGACATCTGGAGTGATTTTCTCACAAACTATAGGATCTGGTACAACTTTTCCACCAGCTAAATCGTTGCCTAGAAACAAAGAAATGCCTGGAACAGGAAGAGTAGGTCGAACACCTACGATAACAGGTCCAGTAACTAAATCTGACTTCAAACTAATTCTATGCAGGGGAACATCAATGACGCCTAGCTCCACACCCTGTAATAAAACTGACCCACCAGTAGAAGTCTGCTCAGACAAAGGAAGCACGCCCTCTAACAATAACGTCTGTGCAGCACCAGTATCTCTCAAAATCTGGACAGGTTTTATTTCGCTAGAGTCACCGAGTGAAACAAATCCCTGAGACATAAAGGGCTTATAATCCTCCATAGAATCAATAGAACTGGACTGTGAACCCTGGACATCAGGAGTGTCAGAACAAATCGAAACTAAGGCTTCTCTTTCTCCTCTAACTGCCGCACAAGCATGTGGTTGAGTTTTATCAAAGTCATTTTTTCTCTTAAGTTTAAAGCATTCACTGATCAGATGACCTTTTTTCTTACAATAACTACAAGTAGGAAGCGACCCTATTCCAGAAGATCCTTCAATACGTCCTGGACCGGACTTAGAACCACCTTGGGATGGAGACTGGGAACTTGTGAAAAACTGAGACCCTGAACCACTCTTTTTATATGTGTCTGAATTGGTAGAATTACTGCTAGTCTGAGATCTTGATACAAAATTCTTTTTATGAGACAGAGCATAAGTATCAGATATGACTGCTGCCTCTTCAAGAGTTTTCACATTCTTATCTTCTAAATGTGTTTTCAAATCTTGAGGAACACATTCCTTAAACTCTTCTACCAGGATGACTTGGCGCAAATTAGCAAAAGTTTTATCAAGTTTCTTAGATCTAAACCAGTGATCAAATAAATCTTCTTTCTCTCGTGAAAATTCAACAAATGTTTGATTATCAAACTTCCTATACTTTCTGAATTTTTGTCTATATGCTTCAGGTACTAATTCATATGCTTTTAATATTGCTGCTTTGACCTTCTCATAATCTAAACTCTCAACTACCCCTAGTGCAGAGTATACCTCAGCCGCTTTTCCAACCAGTACACTTTGTAACATTGTTGACCAAACGTGTTGTGGCCATTTAAGATTCTCTGCAACTTTTTCGAATTGGGGAAAATATTTGTCTACAGATTTTTCTTGAAATTTCGGAACTAACCTAATGTTTTTTGCTGCGTCAAATTCAGTTTTGACAACTGACGGTTCTGGTTGGTTTTGTAATTTTAATTTCTCTAATTCAAAGTTCATTGCACGCTCTTCTCTTTCTGCTGCTAATTTGTCTAATTCAAATTTTCGTTCACGCTCTCGTTCTTCTCTTTCTCTTTCTCGCTCTTCTCTTTCTTTTTCTCGATCTTCTCTTTCTAATTTTTCTCTTTCTAATCGCATTTTCTCTAACTCTACTTGAAACTGATATTCTGCCATTTTATAAGAGCCTAACTCTGATTTAACTGTATATTCTGGAAGATCGTATTTTTCAAAGACGTTTTCTTCTACTAGTTTGTTTGCAACCTTAATTCTAATGTCTTGCTTTCTCTGAGAGGATTTAACATCTAACCCAAAATGCAAACCTAATGCGATCAAGTCATCCTTTTTTAACGTATCAAAAACCTGAACACTTGGTGAACTAAGAAAGTCTGTGACCGAAAATACCATGTTGATTTCTGCTGGCTTATAATCAAATTTAAAGTTTCAATTAACTAAATTGTGACAATAAACTGCAAAAGTGCAAAAATTCTTTATCCCAGACGAGCCCCCAATTCTGTTATGGGTCAGAATTACCCGAAATGCCAGCAAAGATCAATAACACAATTTAAACTTAACAATAATTTATTTACAGTAATATATAATAAGTATATGAAACATAAAGTACAAACTTGGCAAGAATCTAAGAATACATACATCAGAGTGTCCGTTGCTGCACACAATAATGTCCCAGTGAAAATATATCCCAGTTATATCTCAATAGTGCTTATACGACGAAAGTATCCACAATTATTGTATATCTATGCATTGAATTGACAGGGTATTTATACAGTATTATAAATCTAGAATATTCTAGAAAATGTTAAAACATGATATCACTGGAACAATCTGGACATACACAAAATTTAAGAATGTTCTAGATAAAATGACCAAACATGTTGACCACTCTGGAATGTTCAAGAAACTTAATGTTACTAATTATATACATAATAAAACAATACACATCTCACAACAATATATATATATATATATATATATATATATATATATATATATATATATATATATATATATATATATATATAATCCAAGAAAAATCACAGTGGTCGATGATAAATATGAAAATTATTTTAAATAAATAAAAACACGGAGAACGAGTAAAACATAAGCGCTTTCATTTCTTCTTCATGATGTTTTACAATACTCATGGTAACGTCTATTATGACGTCATAATAACTTAACGTTAACAAGTCTTTGATTGACGTCATATTTTTCCCGTACTTTCACAGAACAATGCATTAACAAAGCATACAATAACAAAGCAATAAATGTGACTCAGTAACATAATTTACATGTAAAGAAACAATTCTTTTACATTAAACTATTTAAATTAGGTTTGAAAGTCCTTCTAAAATGTTTTTCTTTATCAGGTCTTTCGATTGTGTTAGATTTGTGCAGTTTATAAAATGGAAAGACAGTAAAAGTTCTATTTCCGCACACGTCTAAGTGTTCACTGACTTTGAGTTTGCGATATTGCGGTACGTTTATTTGTTGTTTGTGTACTCTGATCTTCTCCCGTAAGGTACTTCCCGTCTCGCCGATATATAGTTCCCCGCAACCGGAACATGTTATAACGTATATAACATTTCTAGTTTGACATGACATGTTATTATTAACAGTAAACTGTTTCCAGAAATGGAATTCTATCTGTACTTTCCTCCGCTGTAAATCTTATGTCAGGATTAAGTTCATTCACTAATGTTTTAAAGGTAGACAATTCGTTGTTACTGTATTTACAACATTAGTGAATGAACTTAATCCTGACATAAGATTTACAGCGGAGGAAAGTACAGATCGATAGAATTCCATTTCTGGATATCATGGTGATTAAGGAAAACGATGTCATTTTGACAGATATCTATTACAAGCCAACAGACACGCATCAGTATCTTCATTTTAATTCGTGCCATCCACGGCATACGAAAAGAGCCATCCCTTATAATTTAGCAAGGAGAATATGCACCATCGTAGATAAGGAAACAACCAAAATACAAAGACTACAAGAGCTGAAAGAGTATCTACGGAAACAAAGTTATCCCGAAAAAATTATTGATAATGCTATTAAAAAAGCCATGGATATAGACAGAGAGGACCTCCTCAACCCTGTGCAACAAAACAAGACGGATTCCAGGATCTTGCCTTTAGTAACGACCCATAATCCCCAGAATACAAACGTTGCACCGATTGTTTACCAACTCAACGACGTTTTGAAAACCGACGAAACTATGTCTAAAATATTCAAAAATCGGAAATTCATAAACAGTAGGAGGCAGCCGAAGAACCTCAGTTCTCTTTTAAAGAAACGACAGAATTTCATGTGACCAAGTGCCAGGATTCGCGTTGTGGTACCTGCCCATACATACGACAAGGACAAAGTTTCAACTTTAACGGGAAACAGTTTACTGTTAATAATAACATGTCATGTCAAACTAGAAATGTTATATACGTTATAACATGTTCCGGTTGCGGGGAACTATATATCGGCGAGACGGGAAGTACCTTACGGGAGAAGATCAGAGTACACAAACAACAAATAAACGTACCGCAATATCGCAAACTCAAAGTCAGTGAACACTTAGACGTGTGCGGAAATAGAACTTTTACTGTCTTTCCATTTTATAAACTGCACAACTCTAACACAATCGAAAGACGTGATAAAGAAAGACATTTTATAAGGACTTTCAAACCTAAATTAAATAGTTTAATGTAAAAGAATTGTTTCTTTACATGTAAATTATGTTACTGAGTCACATTTATTGCTTTGTTATTGTATGCTTTGTTAATGCATTGTTCTGTGAAAGTACGGGAAAAATATGACGTCAATCAAAGACTTGTTAACGTTAAGTTATTATGACGTCATAATAGACGTTACCATGAGTATTGTAAAACATCATGAAGAAGAAATGAAAGCGCTTATGTTTTACTCGTTCTCCGTGTTTTTATTTATTTAAAATAATTTTCATATATATATATATATATATATATATATATATATATATATATATATATATATATATATATATATATAGTCTGTTTCAAATCAAATTTGTTTTGTTCATCCAAAAAAATTAACTATAACAAATGTAGCTCTTTCATTTGACCAATCCATAGATACATAGATTTCATAGAAAAACATATTATCTACCTCGCTTTTTGTGGTATTTCGATATACTTTTCATCAATAGACCAACTTCATGAAAGGGCTATATTTGTATATTATCTTTCTGTTACACAGATTCCACAAGGTTAACCATATGGGAACTTTCCTTATTTTACTAAACATAATTCTTGCCTAATTTTGATGCTATATATTGATACATGGATGCTTTCACATTTGTGAAATGCACATTGTAAAAAAGGCTGTTTAAACTCCTTGATGATTTATCATGTTTAAAATCTATTTCTTTTTTTCTTTCACTAATGTGTAGCTGATGCCGAAGAATTAATCATTTTAATCCCTGCAGAAAAAGATAAACCAAAGCTTACTACAGGTAAATAGTGTTTGTTTATTCTAAAACAAGATGAATTAAAAAAAAGAAATCAAATAGTTTCCTTTGGTTATATGTCATAAAATTTGAGACATCCAAAGCTTCCTTTCATTATTGACAAAGAACCTTTTCAAGAAATCTGACAAGAATGTTTTTCTATTGATCTCTACATATACTGAGTATAATCGAATTAGCAGTCAATGTACTTATTGTGGATTATCTGGAGAACTCTTTGCAATAATATATCATATGAAAATCAGAGTTTTAAATGTGTTCAAAATTCTAGATTTCGGATTTTCAATTTATCATAGTCATAAACTACACAAATGACCTTTAGAAAAAAATATATCTCTCAATAGTTTCTCCGCACTGTTTACATGATCAATACACAGGGCTCAGAGGTAGAGAGTGGCCGTTTGACAGAGGACGATGGGTCTTTAATTTTTGAAAGAAAAGAAGTAACATAAAATATAGATGCGATTCGCAAGAACTTAAAAATGTTATTTTAATTTTTTTTCTTTAAAGACTTTAATATTCATAAAAGGGTACTAAACAAGGTAAACAAAGGGTTTGTAGTTTGAAATGTTTTTATTATTAACTAGATATCTTTCTAATTTTCAAATGTAAATGAGAAACGAAAGAAGTCTTCAACAATTGATAGTAGGAGATTTTTTCATAAAAACAAATTCACAGAAAATTCAATCATATTTTTTCATTGTTTAACTTGTATAAATTCCATTTTTCTTTTCTATTTTCATTGCAGAAGATATAGTTCGTTTTGTTTTTGGCGACATGTCAGGTATATAATTTTATATTTTATGAAAAAAAAATGTTCTCTAGCAATAATTAAAGTTTGACATTGTGGGTTAAGAGAAATATCCAAGATAATTGTTTTTTTTTACCAAGTTTAATATACGTTGTTGTTCGAGCCATGTTTTGGATTTGGTTTCAATTAAAACAACCAAGTCTTTAAACGTCTTTGAGAATTATTTTTAATCTTCTAGCAAGTATATTTTTATATAGATAACAATAAATAAATTGCTTTCATACTTTTCTAAGATTATATTAGGTTTCAAAGAAAACAAAGGTGAGATCTGCGTAAATAAAAATGTTAAGATCTGCGTAAATAAAAATGTTAAACTTGAGCCTCTCTCTGATATTCTTTATATCAAGAAACCGAAAAGCAGACTAAGTGTTTTATCTTCTTAAAGATATCCATGTTTAATTTTGTTTTAGAGAAAAAAAAGTTTCCTTTGGATAAATTTTTCAGTGATTTCAAGTTAAAATATACCCATAATCTTACAGCTATACGTCGTTCCACAAGATAGTTCGCTTTTCGGTCCAAACATGTTCATGTATTTATCTATGTTAAAATTAACCTAAAATATTTATTTTTATATTTGGTTTTTTTTTTTTGTTTTGCTTTTGACGTGTACATGAGTAATCTTTTTATTTGAGGACAGATGGTATGAATGAAAAAATAGATGCCTGTATCAATTTATACTTTAAGATCAATTTTGATTGTAATTGAAATGGTAAAACTCTATTTTGTCCGAAATTGTAAAGTATGATGTTCAGAGTTGCACTTTTTTGTTAACCATCATATAATAATCTACAACTTTATAATTCAATTTTGTTTACATTCTCGCCTCTCATTGGTTGATTTCCAAAAAGGAACGCAAAATATTTTGTATAATCTGGTTTGGTATGGGGACACATCCCCTTGACGACCAGCTTAATCATCTTATCCATGCAATCCCCTCATTTCCAGTCATCGGTATCAATGGAAAATTCAAGATTTAATGACTGTATTTTTAACTTCAAATACTAACTCGATCTTACCTCATGTAAACACACATCATGGCTGCTAGATCTATGTATCAGTTATTACCTCCCCTCGCTTCACATCACTTCCGTTACTAAGGTTGTATTATTGCGCGGTAAATTTCAACTCGTAAAAAGCAACACAATTTTACATCCAAAGTTGTTTGATTATTTTGAAATTAAATTATAAGGAATAACTGATTTTTGGCCAAATTATCGAGTATAATCTCGTTTGGGTCAATTAACGCTTTTTTATAATCCACTTCACGGATTATTAAGCGTTAACTGACCCAAACCAGATCATACTCAATAATTTGGCCAAGAATTAGAGTCACTCCTTAATTATCTGTATGTTCACGAATTGTTTTAAAATATGTATCGTCTATCCTTAAAGTACAGTTATATATTGATGCTTCAACTAATGAAATAACGACCCCAAAATTTGAATTGTTTATTTCAATATATTGCAGTTGTTGAAATGAATTTCAAAACCAAACACGTGTTATCTGTTATTTTACACTTTCCTTAATTCATATTTTGGTCTTTTCTTATTTTTGTAAATTTGCTTTTAATCACTTATGTTATTATTAAGCCAAAGAAATGTAATCCAAAAAAGTCAAACATTTTACAGCAATTATGTTCTTTTGTTTCTGACTATTCGATTATGTTGAAAATGTAAGATATTTAAATCATTTCAAATTGAAAAACGGTTTACAAACACATTTCAGCTGTGTTGAAGAGAGTTCGTGATCATGATGGAGACTACAGCGTGCTTGACATGGATGAAAAAGGTATACTTTTTGACACAAATTCGATTGACTATTATTAAGTGTAACTGATATAAAAAATATTATATCCCATCTGTCACACTAATACATGTATTGAACGAGGTATAGATATTCGTCACTCAAGAAGTACTGTAAACTTTTTCTAAAGATAAAACGCCCATGCATCAAATCGGGAGAACGCGAATTGCTTTTAAAACCCCGTAACAAAAAAAACCCATTATATTCAGATTTATTGAGGATTTCTATGTAATACATGTACCCATTAGAAGAGGATTGGGGAAAGACTACCTTTAAAGTATAGGTTAAAGAAGAGCCCAATGTTTGTTTTTTTTTAATAGTGTGTACATGTACATGATAATGATGTACAAAGTGCTTTTTGCGTTGTACGATTAAAGTCCTTTGCAGACTAGTTAAAAAAAAATATGTGAAACTATTTAGAAAAGATTATATAAAGAAAGTATGCCCCCCCCCTCCCACTTTTCTCACTAAAAAATTAAAATCTTTCAAAGCATGATACTTTGTGCAATACTATCAAACAATAATGATTAAGATATTATAACACTAATAACTTTTATTAAAAAAGTACAGTCATACAATTTGTTCTTAATCAAATAGATATATGTGTGACCAAGACTCCGTTTCTCCTGACGTTTGTTTTTTCTGTGAGATTTACATAATCAAATAAAATATATATTTTACATGTATAAATGTGTTAAAAATAATAGTATACTTAAAAATAATAGTATACTTCTTGTTGTAATATGCCATCTGATTGAATAGGAAAATCAATTTATATTGAATATAAACTCACGTGAGAAATGTGTCAATCCTAATGACCTTATTTTTAGAAAACGATTCATTAAAATGCAGTTTTGAAGGGAAATTGTCCTCTTTTCTATTATCATTGATGGAAAATCATATTTTAAGGAATGAATATAAAACTACCCAAATCTTTCTGGTATTTTCGATTTATAATTACAGTGTGGCTACTATTTATTATTGACCTCTCCTCATTGCTTAGAATATAACCTACATGTTCTTATTTTTTATTTCTTCAGATCTTGATTAATCAGTTTTAGCAAGCAGTGCAGAATAGGAAAATACATCATTATCAGTATGCATATAAAATGTTCCTGTATTCATTGATTTGTTAAGTGACAACAAACTATCTTTGCTTCCATTTTTTTTTTTGTCATCCTATTTCTATTTTTCAGATAGAGGACTTGAACAACATTCCTTTGAAAATGAAAAGCCTAGAGAAAACACTTTTAGTAAGAAACTTTGAAAGCTTTTCTGAATATTTAGACCAACATTAGACCAACATGTTTTGAAGTTTAAATTTAAATTATCAAAATATCATATATACAAGTATATGTTTATATATATGTAGATATATACGTATATGTAGATGCAGAAGATCTCAGATATATCGATATATCATACTCCTAACAGTGTACATGTGTTATTCGGGAGAAAAACATATTTGATATTATATATATTTACCTCAATGTAAGTGCTTTTTATTAAATTTAGATCAGGATATCCTTAACACCGTTGGAGACTACAGAGTATGGAAAACACCTTTATCAGGTAAAATATGTCTGTAATATTTCACTCTAAATAGGCAAATTTCTTTAATATTTTAGGAAATTTAGCTGGTCATTTATCATCCTTTGCCACAGAATTATAGAGGATATAGTAACGTAATCGTGTGTGTTAGTAAGGGTGTGTGAGGGTGTGTGCATATGTGTTAGTTTGTCGTTTACGGAGTTGACATACTTATCTTCGAGATCGATGTCAAACGGTGATCTACTCGTCCATAATTAATGTAGATATACATTTATGTACCTCTAGAACCATTCTTTTTGTTTTAAAGATTGCTCCACAGCTTGCATATATGTAAGACGTCGTTGGGCTCACAAAAATTATGCACGGTTTTAACAAAATCTAGACGTTTGTTAGCTCACCTGAGCCGAAGGCTAAAGTGAGCTTTTCTGATCACATTTTGTCTGTAGTCCGTCTGTCCGTCCGTCCGTCCGTCCGTCCGTCTGTCCGTCCGTCTGTCTGTAAACTTTTCACATTTTCGACTTCTTCTCAAGAACCGCTGGGCCAATTTCAACCAAACTTGCCACAAAGCATCCTTGAATGAAGGGAATTTAATTTTGTTCAAATGAAGGGCCACGCCCTAATTTAAGGGGAGATAATTGGGAATTAATAAAAATTTGGTGGCATGTTTTAAAAATCTTCTCAAGAACCACAGTGCCAGGAAAGATGAAACTTACACTGAAACATCCTCAGGTAGTGTAGATTCAAGTTTGTTCAAATCATGACCCCCGGGGGTAGGGCGGGGCCACAATGGCCGACCAAAGTTTTACATAGAAATATATAGGAAAAATTCTTTAAAAATCTTCTTCTCAAGAAAAACAAAGCCATAATTGATCATATTTATATGGAAGCATCCTCAGGTAGTGTAGATTCAAGTTTGTTCAAATCATGACCCCCGGGGGGTAGGGCGGGGCCACAATGGCCGACCAAAGTTTTACATAGAAATATATAGGAAAATTCTTTAAAATTCTTCTTCTCAAGAACCACTGTGCCAGGAAAGATGAAACTTATATGGAAGCATCCTCTAGTAGTGTAGATTCAAGTTTGTTCAAATCATGACCCCCGGGGGTAGGGCGGGGCCAAAATGGCCGACCAAAGTTTAGCATAGAAATATATAGGAAAATTCTTTAAAAATCTTCTCCTCAAGAACCACTGTGCCAGGAAAGATGAAACTTATATGGAAGTATCCTCAGGCAGTGTAAATTCAAGTTTGTTCAAATCATGACCCCCGGGGGTAGGGCGGGACCACAATGGCCGACCAAAGTTTTACATAGAAATATATAGGAAAATTCTTTAAAAATTTTCTTCTCAAGAACCACTGTGCCAGGAAAGATGAAACTTATATGGAAGCATCCTCTAGTAGTGTAGATTCAGGTTTGTTCAAATCATGACGCCGGGGGGTAGGGCGGGGCCAAAATGGCCGACCAAAGTTTAACATAGAAACACATATGAAAATAAATTTAAAATCTTCTTTTCAAGAACCACTGTGCCAGGAAGGATGAAACATATGGAAGCATCCTCAGGTAGTGTAGATTCAGGTTTGTTCAAATCATGACCCCCGGGGGTAGGGTGGGGCCACAATGGCCGACCAAAATTTTACATAGAAATATATACGAAAATTCTTTAAAAATCTTCTTCTCAAGAATAACAAAGCCATAATTGATCATATGTATATGGAAGCATCCTGCGGTAGTGTAGATTCAAGTTTGTTCAAATCATGACCCCTGGGGGTAGGGCGGGGCCAAAATGGCTGACCAAAGTTTTACATAGAAATATATAGGAAAATTCTTTAAAAATCTTCTCAAGAATAGCCATGATTGCTCAAGGTACTACTTTTGGATTTAAACTTTTCAATAAATAAACCAATTTCTACTCAGGTGAGCGATGTGGCCCATGGGCCTCTTGTTTGTTTTATGACAGTTAAAAATAGAGTACAACTTAATGTCTGCAATGTTTAAAGCTCATCTGAGAAAAGAATCCAGTGAGCTTTTCTTTTCAAAATTTGTCTGTTGTCTGTCGGCGTTGTCTGTCGTAAACTTATCTAATTTTCTTTCTTCTCAAGATCTACTGGACCGACTTCATCGAAACTTGCCCTAAAGTACCCTTGGATTAAGAGAATTCTATTTTGTTCAAATGAAAGACAACGCCCACTTCCACGAGAGAGATAAGGCTTACTTAGTGAATTCAAGTTTGTTTATATCATGACCCTCGGATGGGACCAAAATGGGCAATCAAAGTTTTTAATGGAAATAAAGAGGAAAAATATTCTTCTCAAGAACAGCAAAAATATGATAGATGATATGTATTTGCAAATTTGCACAGGTATTGTAGATTCAAGATTGTTCAAAGCAGATCTCGTGGGAGTAGAGTTGGGACACAATGTGGGATCAAAATTCACATAGATATATGATTAGTGATTTTTTTTCATTGAACATATAAAAGCATCTCGAACTTATGGTATGATCACAAAGTTTAAGTTAAGAAAAGTTGAAAAAAAATATTGTGCACAGACAAAAATTATGTTTATTCATAACGACGTCTAAGCATTTGCATGTAGTGAAGATTTTTTTTTTCAAAACTTGATCAGGGGGTGGGGTTGTAAGGGAGGGGTCATAGTTAGAAGATCAATTTATTTGCTAATTGATATTTAGGGGAAAAACTTTAAAAATCTCCACTTAAGAAAGTCAAAATTATACAGGCATGCTATATTGATATGGTGTCATTCTCAAATAGCATTAAATTCAAGTCACCCCCTCTCCACTTAACTTTTAACTACTGAGATTTTTCGTGATTTTACCTAGCCCATGTGCTAAGGTCAGCAATATTGTTATATTTGAATAGATTGGATCTTGTATATTTTCAGATGAATTCAAAACTCTATCTTCAGATGAGAAATCAGTATTGTTCTGCCGTCTATGCTCCGACAATGCGATCCTTGACTTCAACGACAAAGACATCCTTTTGATGTATAATGTGACACGATGGAAAACGTTTGATGAACAGACGTGCAAAACTTGTGAAGAAGCTCAGCAGACGCTAGAAAGGTTGAAGAAAAGTAAATTTATTCATGTAGATGGGGACAGAATTCTCCTAACTGCGGATGCAGAGGCCGAAATCCTGTATTGCATAGTGGACCGTTCTCCAGCACACAATGATTACAAATTATTTCTTTTCAGTTTCTCTGCAACATGTACATACTTTAGGACAAGAGAATATAATAGAAAACGTGGAGAAAAATGTCTCATTAGCCCAGTGGCTGTCATGGATTCCCTAATCATACGCCGTTTGCAGATGGATATATTGACACATGTTACGATGAAGGACGAACATATTTTCCATGAGATTTCTCAGATATGTATGTAAATGTATTTCAAATTTTTAAACAGGTTTTCTTTTAATTCTAGAGACTCAATATTAATTAAAGTATCTGCTTAGATTCATGGTACTTGATTCCACATCTGTTTTGGAGGTCCATGTTTGCTCTGCTCCTATTTTGCATTGTTTTGTAGACTTATGATCTTGAATACTATTCGTTATCTCCATATGCTTCATTCACTAAGTAGCGTACTTCCCTTTCGACCTTTTTAAATCAAAAGAGCCATTGAAATGAAGTTTTTAAGTTCAACGCATTTGAATATTATGAAAATGATGATACAAACAAACTTTATCGTAAAATTGAAAATAATAAACCGAGTCGAGTTTATATAAGTTAAAAAATGACTGCAAAGGATTTTATTTTTTATTTCAAGTTGTACAACAGTGGGATTTGAAGTGACAAAATTAATATAGATAAATAGGGATGGTGGATGAATCGCAAAAGTTTGGAACATCAAAAAAAAGTCTACAATATCTAAATATACACTGTGATATGAAAATCATTATTTGCATCTTTCACAACAAGACAGAACCGAAAATTTATAACAAAGCAAGCATACTTTTCTTTTAATAATACAATTATCATCCTCTCTTAATCATGTACTTAACTCATATGGTTTACATTTGTTCGAAAGCCCTTAAGGCTCATTTGAGATTCAAGATTCGAAATACGAGATTCGAAATTCAATATCCAAATTAACCAATCAAAAGCGGGTTCAATATTTGATAACTCCCCTTAATTACGATTTTACTATCAAGAAATCGATGAATATATTTATAAAAAAAATGGGTCATTTGCTAAAATAATGTTTTATGCATCAAAACGAAATAAAAACAAAATTTGGATTAAATTTTGAAAAATATATAAATAATCTAATTTTTTATATTCAAATAAAACAGTAAATACGTATGATATAGAATATTATATGGTCTTATCGTTGACTTGCGGAATAAAGTTATGCCGACTAATTTTGTAATAGATCAAAGAGGGGGGGGGGGGGAGAAAATAATTATTGATTGGATATGAAATATAAAGAATCGTCTCTACACTGCACAGACCGTTCATGGTAGCTCAGTCGGTAGATCGCTCGCTCCGTGATCGGGAGATCATGAGTTCGTATCTCGGCCTTGACTGACCTAGTCGTTACAATAGGTAGCAAATGTTCCTTCGCCGTACGCTCGGCACTTTGAAGTGAAAGGTGCGGGTCCTTCGGATGAAACCTTAAAAACCGAGGCCCCGTGTCAGCGGCAGGCACTGGCAAGATAAAGATCCCTCACTGCTCAATGGCCCTGAGTGCCGAGTAAAGGTCAAAATTTGAAAACCTTCACCTGCATACGGTGACGTCTCCATATTAGTGAAAAATTCTCAAGAGGGATTTTAAACAATATACAATCAATCAATCTACAATGCACAGTTAAACAATGATATATATTTTATTACATTCATAAAGCGTACATTTGCGTAGTCAGATTTGATTGCTGAATTGAAATAATGTAGTTTTATAAGGTTTTACTAGTAAACTTAAGTCTTGACCATTACGCTATGGTCAGAGACTAGAATATAAAACCATAATGCTATTGTTCTCCAGCTAATTTAGACTCATCTACTATTTGATATCAAATAAAATACTTATTGTATTTCATATTGCCAATCTGTATTGTATATCTAATTTTTAAATAACTCAAAAATCAAAGTATTGGACCAAGATAATTACTTATTTCTTTAAGTATTTCCTCTATAAGGAAAATGAACGCGATTTCTTTAAAATCAATCTTACATTGCCTTTCAAGTTTAACAAAGTAACGTTTTCATTGTGTTTGGAAAATTGGGCAGATGGGGTGGGTAAGTGTGGTGTTATTGTTAATCTTTAGACACTTGTCACTCAGTTATAAGTTTATTATTTTGTCATCATCCCTGTAAACAAAGTAGACAATACAAAATATATATACTCCTGAAATAAGTAATCTGCTTAATATTTAAGAAGCTATACTTTAAATCTAAGTATATCTTGTTTATTAAAAATCCAATAATTATTTAAATTTCCTTCTAAATTATATAATACTCCTTCTTGCATTATAATTTAATCAAATGAGCCATTTGTTATAAACATATTAAATGATTTCTTGATAGTAAAAACATATTTAAGGGGAGTAATCAAATGTTGAACCCGCTTTTGATTGGTTAGTCTGGATCTTGAATCTCGAAACTCGAATTTTGAATCTCGAATTTCGAATCTTGTATTTCGAATATCGAATCTCGCATTTCGAAATTCGAATCCCGAATGAGCATTCTGGGCTTTTGTACAGCTGTATGAAAGCCTTTTGCAAATATATGTTACATATATTTTTCTCATTTTAGTGAATATTCCTGATCATATTTTAAAAGACCAAAGGGTGAGAAAGTCATTTGCAAATGATTTACAACAGAAAGGACAGGCTGTTCAATGCAGAAGAGGATCAATGAACCATGTGAAATGGCTGTCTAGATATTGGAGACACAACATAGTGAGATCTTGCATTGGCCTTTATCCCCATAGTGACATTTATATCATGAATAATAAGGCTTATAGAGAACCAAGTAAGTTGAATGATCAAATAATATGAATTTGTTTTTTTTTCAAAATTCATCTAAAGATTTCAAATATACATGTACTTGAACTTGGTTTTTAGGTATTTGTTAAAACAAAGAAATTTTATCAACATCAGTAAATATTTCAATGGGGCACACATGAACATGATGAATGTGTATTAAAAGGATTTCTTGAAACCTTAATTAATGGTCCAACGCAATTTTTCTATGCGTTCTTCCAAAATATTAGTCTATTGATACCTTGATTTCATATATGCTGTCAGTACACATATACCTCCAAAGAATTCGTTTCTTGTTGTAGAAAGTTTACACATTTGAAACGATAAAACAAAATGTTGATTTCGGTTATCTTGAATTTTACATAATCATGAACTTGAAGAATGTGCATTGAAATAATTTCGTAAAACCTTAATTGTCCCACAGCAAAAACAATCTTTCTTTGCGTTCTTCCTAAAATCTAAGTCTGCTGACATCTTGATTTCATGTATGTTAGATATGTTCCTAAAGGAAGTATATTATACAGATACATTCATATCAAGTAAAATTGATGCAAAGCATCCAATCGGCCGCAAACAAGATTTAGCATTTCAAAAATACTTTCACAATTTAAATCATCCAAACAAGTAATGCAAACGAAATATTCAAAGCTGAAATATCACAAAAATAATGATTGCTTTTATTTCAGGCTGTCTTCAAAGTAAAATAAATAAATAATTTTTAAAAATTAAACAGAAATTTTAGTGCACTTGCTCATTAAATGGATTCTTCGATGTAATAACAATGATTAATGGTAAGGTTTTATCATACTCAAAATGAAGATGAAGGCATCTCAAGATGAACCACGTGCTGAGACCCTGGATCTTTGTCACGTGATAATGCCCATAGTTACTGCAAAGTAGGCTATGCTGCAAGACGCGGTGCAAAATTTAGAAAAAAATATCTTTGTGTCATTCGCAGCTGTAGCATATTCAAAACAATTTTTACAAGGTGATGAACAACTTTTTAATTTTAAAAAAGAAATTTACAAGGTCAATATTATCCGGAAAGTCATGACGATTTCTTTTCATATCTTACACACTCCCAGGTTGGAGAATATTCATTGTAAACTTTTTTTATCTAACCAAATATAATCAATTATCTGATGAGAAATGATAATGAAATATAGATATAATAACAACAATTTATACAAAGTTTAAAGCAAGTTTTAAAAATATTTTATTCATGATTTTATATATGTTATCATTTAAGATTTATTTTACCCAACTAATAAAAAATAACGTCTCATTTCCCCATGTTCACTTTCTAACACAACCACAAATAGATCGGCCGCTGCTGTGGCCGATAATGTAGAATTTGTCCTTCTATTCTTTTGTCTTTTTAAGTATTAAATGTTTTCTGCATTATTAGTTCAGTGAAAATAATAACTACATCAATATCTTGGTAAATATTTGAGTACAAGTACCATAATATAACATTTTTGCGGTTAATTAAGTTAGATTTATTTTCAGAGATATACTTATTTAATTTTGATATATGTAGGGTTCGCAATTCCTTCCTTATATTCTATCCCTTAAACCAGAAAAAATCATCAACATTATACTTCCCTTGACTTCTATATTTAGGTAAATATCATCTGTATGAATCTAAAATCAGATGTCTCCTGTACTCCTTACTACTCATGGACACGTATACAGCTAGTTTCAATCATGGCTCATTCCAAATGATGCTGAAGGAGATTGGAGACAGATACTTTTCCAAACTTTCAATTCCTGAGGTTTTTGATGAAAACTTTCTCACAGAGGAGATCATGCTAACAGAAGACGGTCGAATTACATTTGCATCCGATGACATCAGACATGACGTCATGTATGCATTTGTAACGGAATGACTAGTAGACGACAGTGATTTAGATTTTTTCTTGAACAAAGCGTCACGTGATGTGATATCAGAATACTGTAGGTCCTGGAAGTATAAGAGAATCGAAAAAGAGAGGTGCATTTATCTACCAGAGAGACCAAAGAAGATGTACGAGCTCTTCATGGAGAAACTACAACTAGATATCATTACACACTGTACGATATCAGACAGAGACTTTCATCCTACAATAAATGAACACTGTAAGTACATGTGAAGTACCCTTTCATTTTAAAATCAATTGTGGCGCAAATTGCACGCGAATTAAATAGTGGCGATCTTTTAGCGATTGAATTCCCAAAGTATAGTGTAATTTACTGAATAAATTGGGGAGGGGGGGTCTGAAACATTTGTTTTGAAAACAAGTGGTATTAAATTTAAAGATAGAGTTATTTCAATAAAAAAATTGACGGTGACGAACTTAAAGAAGTGTATGTGTATATTAAAAATGGGATTTTTTACTTGTAAAATATTTATTTAACCCCCTAATGAAACCCACCAACACACACAAATCATACATAGCAAGTTTACATTACGCTTCAATTTTTTTTACGGAATTTAGACATTATAATTTCTTTAATTGCGGACAAGATTACACCTGCCGTTGAGGCACTAGTATTGCTAATGTACTTCTCGGAATGCTTGTAAATTTATGGTCTCTTTAAAATGTAATTGCTCAGGATTGCCAGTTTGGCATTTGTCCACATTTTTTTTGGCTTGAATGCGGGTGCTTTTGATGTATAATACGCCAATAGCTTATGTCAATAATTTACTTCTCGTAGACAAAAAAAGGAAAATCTATGACTTGCATTTTAAAATCGCCAATGACTTCATCTTGCAAAATCAAAAAAAAAAAAATAAAACCTTATTCTAGATTTCTGATTTATAAAATTTTGTCCAAGTTGTATTAATATGAAATTGACTGATTATTTTTTTTTATTAACTTGGATATAGTGTCATTACGTTCTGACTGCCATTAGATGATATTTTATTGTACCTTTGCAGTTCATGTCCCTTTAGAAATTCTAAGATGGGATCTTGAGGCCAGAATGCAATTCTTGGAGTTAGACAAGAAAGGCGAAACTCAATTTGTACACCACGCTAGAGGCATGATAGTTGGATGTGCTGAAGCAGGCAAGACTACGCTACTCAAACGTCTGCAGAAAAAGGATATCAAAGACGTTGAGCAAACAAGAGGTCTTGAGGTTCATGAAGAAATGTTTGAGATAAATGATAAAACACAGTCATTACAAGGTTATTTTTATAATTTATAACATTTTGAATTTTATTAGATTTTTGATTGATTTAGATCTTTCAGAAGAAATGAAACAGAAGCGTATTTTAAAAACAAATTTTAAAATTAGAATGTTGCGAGATTTGTCCTGAAATATATGGAGATAACGAATAATATTTAAGATCATAATCTATTCAAACAATACAAATTAAATCAAAAAATGGAGAATACAAAGACAATTTGCTTTTATAATTGATATACCTTACAAACCTGAGAACATTTCATTTGATTTTTATCTTAAATAACTGACGTACTGACATATTATAAGAAATTCTAGTTCTTATATTTCTCATATTGAAAATACCTAGTGACATATCAAAATAGGCCTAGTTATAAATGAACGTATAAATTCTTTAGAGTTATATGCATCAACATGCTATTATTTTATATTTCTCTTGATCTCATATAAAAATGAAGAAACTTTTGCTATTGTTAATATTTCTTTCAGGATAATCCTACAGTTTGAAAAAATATATACTTGTACATTGTAATTATATTCTTATATAAAAAGATAAACTCAGAACGATTACTTTATCATTTGAGTGTCAATTATTTTTTTAAAAACTTTGAGTTTTTTGAGAATCTAGCAAATATATAAGATAAAATAAAGTTTAAAAAAGCCTTCATTTTGGGAAAATTTAAGTGTTCTTTTATCATAAACAATCCAATCTGAAAAACAATATTTTAGATTTTCCCAAAGCTACTACATTGAACACAACAGAAATTAAGCATCGGAAAGGATCTTCTAAAAAGACTCTGACTTTCTTTGACTTTGCGGGTCAATGTGTCTACTACGCCTGTCACCAGATTTACCTAACCAGAAGAGCTTTCTATGTTGTGGTGGTGGACGCCTCTAAACGTCTTGACCAGAAGGTGGATAAAAAAGTATGTGATCAAGATGGGAGCGTTTTCTCTGGATGGACATATGGAGGTATAACTCTGGGAAAACTGCACATCTCTCCTTATATTTGTTTCATATCAATTTCTCTAAAAATATGCCTTTAATTTTTCAGAATATTTTCTGTTCTGGATAAATTCCATTCATACATTTTGTGACACAGAGAGTGGGGAAGCACCAACTATTCTGATAGTAGCCACACATTGGGAGAATGCCAAACAGTATAAGGTTCCATCTCTCTCTCTCGCCCTCGCTCTGTCTCGTATTAGAATTTTATGAATGTATGTTTATTATAAACTGTAAGTTTAACATTTACATATACTTTTTTAGAGCAAGAAGGAATTCATAATGAATCTTCAAAAGACGATTCCACGTCATTCTCGCATTTTATCGCAATACATTAGAGAGGATTTTTGTTTTTTCTTACGACTGCCTGTAGAACCCATTCAAGATTTAGAAAAGCGGATCGTTGAAATTGGAACCCACAGAAAATGGACGGAACGTATTCCAAAGGAGTGGGTTTGCTTTGAAATAGACATACATCAGAGGAAAAATGAAATTAAAATTATGAATACAGCAGAAATAGTTATGCATGTCCATGAGTATGAAAAAGCTTTTTCACACCATCATACTCAAAGGCAACATATTAGAAAACAAGAAATGTTACGATATTTTCACGACGCTGGGAAAATTTTGTACTTTAACGACGAAGTTTTAAACAGATCCGTCATTATTGATGTGCAGTGGTTTGTTGATGCTTTCAAACACATTATTACAGACAATCTTATCTCAGCAGGCATTAAAGTTGCACTGGAGGATTGGAAAGAATACTATGAAACTGGACATCTGAAAGACAGAGATCTAATGGAAATCTGGAAATATGTTGATAAAAAACTGCATGAAGAAAGAACACACGATACAATTATAAATTTGGACAATGAAGATGATGCATTAAGTGACACTAACTTGGATTTTCCCGATCATGCTTTTTACAAGCCCGGGGCCTTTGAGCATGTAGAGATAAACAAAAAACACAAGCATCAGGACTTCTCATGTCATAAAACGAAAATTTTGAAATTCATGCAAAGACTTGGTTTAGTAGCCAGTTGTGGGGACATGTTTTACATACCATGCATGAATCGAAAGGATTTTGATGAGGAGATGCAAAACGAAGTTCGTGAAGCACATGTAAAATCGTCCATTCTAATTTTTAAATTTGAACTGTTGCCTTACTTTTACTTCTTTCGTCTTGTCGTTGCTTGTATGCAGAAACAAAATTGGAAAGTGCTTAAAAGTCATGATAGGTTATGTCTGTACAGAAATGTAGCTTTATTTTTATCCAGAGATCATCATGTTGCAATTGCTGTCAATACAACGTCAATCCAACTTCAAGTTTACCAGCCAGTACATTGGGAGTCTTTGGACGTTCGTGAAACCAAGCTTATTCAAACCGATGTGGAAAAAAGCTTGATGGAAGTAACAAGTACATTCCATAGAGAAAATAAGTTTACTAAAGGATTTAGCTGTAAATCTGGAAATAAGTAATCGATAGCAATGGCGATTGAAGGCCACTTTATTCAAGCGGATACCTTAAAAATAGGGGATAAAATTATGTGCCCATTACACCAAGGCAAGGATCGTCATTTCCTTGATACCAACAATTTAACAAAATACTGGGACTTATCTAGATCTAACTGTTGATTCAAGAAAGCACTCTGTAACGATATTTAGCATAACTTATGTTGATTTGTTCAAGGTGATGAAATTTCTTAAAGAAACAGTGCACATTTAGATTTCTTTTATATATCATTCCCATTAATAAATCAGTTGAGTGGAATAGTGTTAGATTAAATGTTGTGTGTATATTTTTTGATAATTATACAATAAGAATGTTATTCAATAAAAGGGTAATTTTGTTGATGAAGATTTATATGTAAGTGCTTTATTTAAGAAATATAATTTGATTGCCTATTTTTTTACTTTCCTGATGTGATCAATCAATTGGCTTGCGGGGTAGGTAAAATGCATAAATGCTGATTGTGTTTTTGCATAAAGTTATTTTTAAAAAATGTGACAGTTTTTTTTTTCACATGCATAAATGCATGTATTAGAAATACTCTTGATTCCCCAAATATACCTATACGTGCTACAGCCCCAGCTTTTGTCTTTAATTGTGCCGTCAAAAACAGGATATTTTTTAGCCATGCTTGTCGATGAACCGGTAGATTTATATAGGAATTAGATATTTTCACTATTTGTAGTGTAAACTAGGCCAAAGGAGTTATTTAAAATTAACATTTTTATTGTGTTTGTAACGAAGTGTATAGCCTTGCATGGAATCACGAGTGATTTTCAGAGGTGGAGGGAAAATAGTTTAATAATTATACAATAAGTATTTTCATCCACTTTTATCATAAACTGTTTATCCTTTTGATACTGAATGCATTTGTTCTTCTAAACAATCTCCTTTTTTATCAATGAAATTATTTTAAAGCATATTTGTTTGCATGTTTATTTTTTTTCACTAGCACATTCAACAACATATCAATTTTAGTTTTGTGATAATGATTTGCGGGAAACACAACTTTCAATCGATATAGTAGAAAAATATAATCTATTAGATGCTTGATGAAAACCCTAGCCATTTCAGTAGTGAAGGAGAAACTTAAAGAGTACTGTGCAACAAATATATTCAAGAACTGTTGTAAATCAGATGTGGATACATAAAATTTCAAAGGAATATTTTGACAATTTGAAATCACAAGATTTTACCAAAATCAAAAGCTTAAAAACTTATGGCTATTCAATTTTATACACAACCATTCCCCATGATAAACTAAAGTACAGGCTTTTTGATATCATCGGCAGCTGCTTTTTCAATAAAAAATGTAACTCGTAAATTCACTTTCCTTGTCATTGGTCATTTGCAAAATTTTGTTAAAAACATTCTAATACACACAAGTACTCTAAATTGAAATAAAAATAATACTTGAGTTTCTGCTTGAATATATCTATATATGTTGTTTGTAGAGACCAGGTCTTCTAATTTTTTTTTTTGAATTCATATTGGAAACAATAACGCCCCATTAATAGCAGACTTATTTTTGTATCCACATGAAGCAGACTTTGTGCAAAATCTGACGCATGAAAAGAAGAAAACACTTGTTGGGGCCTTTGCAGCACTGTTAAGGCTAAATATGAGAAATCAACGGGAAATAGAAGTGCAAAAACGGGAATTGTTTTTAAAATGAATTTATTTTTATTCAGCTGTATTAGAACCACAGAACGTAAATACTTATGGAATAAGCATATTAAACCTACTCTGTACTGTATGAAGTTTGGTCCCATCGATGGACATTTACGTGATGATTGCATAGTAAGTGTACTGAATGTATGTTTTTTAAACAAATTTCAATATCGCAAGGGCATACCCTATTTGAATTTTAAAAAAATCAGGCTATTAATTGTTTCTGTATACTTTGTACTTTCTGGAAAGTGCTGCTGCTTTGAATAGAATTCGCGTTTTAATAGTTAAAATTTCATATAAAAAAGCCCATGTCGAAATATGTTTGACTTTTACCAAATATTTTGTGTACTTATAAAGTCACGCTTCTTTTTTAAAGAAAGCAGCAGCACTTTTCAAGTAAAAGAATATATGATTTATTTATATTTAAAAAAAATTAATTTAGTGTATGTTATTGCGAAAGAACGATTTAATGAGTCACCTCGATTTTAATTATACCTAACCTGTACATAAAAACACGACAAAATTCTTTGAGTACTTTCTCTTGATAGTTTATGAATAATCGCACTTAACAAAGGATGAGCATTGGTATAAATAGCATATTTACATGTAAAACTTCTACATGATACTCATAGCTAAAAAATGCCTCAACCTGTCTCTCACAGCACATAAAAGACGTCATAAATTTTCAAAGCAAATTTTTGTTCTCTTCCTACCTTTAGGCAAAAAAAAAATTCGAGTACATAGTACATAGTCAGAAGAGATAATAATTGTGTTCACCGACCTATTTCAGGGTCACAAAACACCAACTTTAAAATTGCTTTAACTGGAAAAGCTGAAGGCCTTACAGTGTAAAATATAAGAAGATAATATTATTTAATCTTTTTTAATATATAATCAGAACATGATAAATAACACTTTATATCAAATTGATTTTTTTAATTCTGCAATTCAGCGATTAAACTTTATATCCTGTAAATGTTTGGTCCCCGCTATGTGTGCCACTGGACCACATTCTTCCTCCTGTATTGATTTTTACCCATACTCTGTCGCTGTGGTTCAGTTGCAATGCTATTGTGTTTGTCGAAATTCTAAAGGGAATACTATCTCTTCCATATACCAGGTGTTTAGCCTCTTCAATACCATTCAAAACAATGCTAAAGTACATATCGGTAGGGTTTGACGATGGTGTGATTCGAACAAAGAACACATAGGTTCCATCAACAGGCGCTGTAAAGATGCCGTTTTTGTTGTTATATCCACCACCGACATTACAAAGAACGTGAGGAAATACCAGAGTTTGACCACTAGAAGAGGTGATTTCTGACGTTATAGTAGCACTAAACGCTACAGCATCAGATGGACCTGAAACCAATGAAAATAAATTATCCATCTGCAGTACATGTTATTGCATGTTTAAAAATTTTACTTGATTTGCTATTTTTGCAATTATTTGCGTTTAATTGAAGGTGAAATAAAAGTTAATATGCCGGAATAATTTTTTTTAATTAGTTCATCAAAAAAGTACGGTGGCTTGTATAGGACATGGTAAAAGATTTTTTTTTATCAATTCGTGGCCACGAAATAAAATTCGTGGGAACGAAATAAAAATTCGTGGCCATGAAATAAAATTTGTGGCCACGAAATCATAGATAGAATGTGTTATCGTTAAAATAACAAATGTCCTACGGACCCGGTTTAACAGTAGAATTCCTTCGGTGTTTTCACAATGTAGCAAACTAAACACGGACGATAACTCCTACTCAGTGCATTCACTATGAACAAACGAAGAGTTCCGAAAGTAAATATAAAGTACATTTGAAGCGAGGAAGAAACGTTGAGAAAATTAGTTGAATCTTCGTCTTTATTTGGATTATACTTAAGTTTTATTGCCCAAACAGTTACTGTACATTATCCAATTCTGACCTAAATGTTGAGAAAATGAAAGCTTGCAACTTTAAGAAATGTCCATTACGTTGAAGATTTATCTCACCGTGACTTCATGATAAAGCCTGCTAAATTACCCAAAATTACCTCAATTTACAACCCTTTGATATAAATTTTTAATAAAATATTAAGTAAAATATCTTTTTTTATATTTCGAGCAATATTTCCTTCTTTCGATCTTGATTATGCCGTCAATTTTGTTTTCTGTGAGACTGGTCCGCAAATTTTTGATCGGTTCTCAAACTTATCTGATACCAAAAAAAAAAAGATAAATAAGGAGCGTAAGTAAACCAATTATAGTTTTGATTTATTAAACTGCTACGCTTTTTAAAACAAATATATCAATGAAAAAAACGTTGCATGATATTTCATATTGATGAAGTAAAGAGATAAACAGCGTTTAAGCTCAAAGTCCAATTAAACAATTATAACAATCGGGATCTTAGCAAACACGGACCTCAAAAACATCAGAGGTGGGATCAGGTGCCATGATTGAAAAAGTTAATCAGGCCGACGGTTCACATCCGCCATGTGCTCGACATGATATGCTGTGTTCGATAACATGGTCATTGTTTCGACCATAAGACGTAAGAAATTATGACGAGAATTTTGATTTTCTTGTTTTATCAACTTGTGATAATCATAGGACAAAGGCATATTTATGATAGTTAGCGGCAAATAAACAAGATTTGTTTTTGAAGCAAAAATTCAACAATTATATGATAATTTTTTAAGTAGATGTTATCCTCAATTATACCTCAATAAACAAATCATAAGGCTTGGTAAGGCCATTGGAATGACATAATTATCAACACTCAAAGAACAGCTTTTAATTTCAATACCAGAAATGTAATAGAAAATCAAATTTAAGTAATTTAACTGAACTTTGATGACATTAATCATGGCAGATGTTTCAAATATGTAATAAAAGATTTATAAACTCATATTAATAAATTTTTGCACTCTTTTTGCTAGTATATATAGAGTTCTTCAATTACAAAATTCGGAAAATGACAAATTGAAAAAAAAAGAAGTTTTATAACTATCTTTTAGTTCATGAAATTGTTGTAAAGTTTTACAAACCTACTACATGTAAGTCTTGTATAGCTGTGACATTTCTTATGATTTCAGATATCTCTTTTGAAGTCTGAATCTCTTCATGCTGCATCCAAAGTAATGATCTTTGTAGTCCTTTTGTATCTGTAAATCAAAAACAGTTGTCTTGATTTAAGGTGCTATTAGCAAGGTCGTGGACTTATGTGATAAAATGAATACTTAGTATGTAGTTTGTGCTTATAAAATATAAAAAAAACCAAATAAACATTGAAATGTTTAGCTTTATACTTTGATAGTTTGCCAAACGATTCTAATATTTAAAAAAAACCTACATATGATAACCCGGCGCTGTTTACGTTAAGTTTTATTGCGTCCAACAACGTCATAAGTTTGTTTCTCAAGGTCAGTTCCCTCTGCCTTAATATCCCTATCTTGAGGAGATTTCCAAGAATTTAGTATTAAGTACTTTAAGCATGAACAAGTTTAAGTAACTCTAATATTTAAGAGGAAGTATGGGGAAAGATGATCACTTAATAAAGTAATATTTGCTAGTCGAAGTTCAGTAGTTAGTTACCACCCATGATCAGCATAAATTTCCTACGTGATTAACTATTGACAACCTGACTTCAAATCGACATTATCAATGCATGTACCTCTCATTTCTAAGTCTTTTTTCGGCATTTCAAGAAAAATATCAAAGATACTTTTTATTTCTCTGTTGCTCGTATTATCTTTTCCCTAGGTCTATTCCAGTTTGCTAACAGTGAAATTTATAAAATGTTTGAAAGTAAAACTCCTTTCCCTTTTTCAAGCTCATAATTTTTAGGAAATTCATATAAAATTTATGAAAAACATTCATAGAGTTTACAAATTAACAATGCAACTGCAAAATTTACTGAATAAATGTGTAATCTCACGTGCCTGCATAACATGTAACGGGGGTTTTGCGAAAATGCTCATATCAAAAGAAATTTCCTTAATTACACTCAGATAAAAGGAGACTGTAGCTCTACAGGCTTATACTTATAACAAAGGAAGAGAAAAGTAGCAGTTTGGATTTGAAAATTTATACACATTATTTTGTAGTATCTTTATTGGCTTATACATTACATATATTGCCACATGTAACAGCAATAAATAGAATAATGATCTTTTTTGAAATCAATTTCTGTGGCAATATTACAATAAGACTACAACTCTAGGAGTAGCTATTAATAAAATTTTAAAGAAAGTTTAATTGTAGTTGCCATGGCAACATCATTCATCAAAATTACAAAAAAAATCACACAGATTTATATATCTAAGTGTAGGTTACATGTGTACCAAGTTATACTGAAATCTCACCAAAACTTGAATATTTTTCATACATTACGAAGATATACAAAACAGATTTTGAGGAACGCCTCGTCTGACCGGTAACTTAATTTCAAAATTAGTTAAATTAGGTTAGAGCCCATGTGCCCGGTACCATACATCCCTATCTTTACCTTCTCTATCAAGAAAATGTAATTTAGTCGCTATATTATTTTTTTCTGATGCCTTCATGTATATTTGAGCTGGATATTCAGGAATAATACCAATTATTCTTACCATTCATAAAGACGTCCACTTTTGATAGAAAATATTCAATGCCTTTAATAGATTATGTTAATTCGTTATTTTTGTTTTCTAACTCAAAATATTTTGTCATCAAATTTAGAACTTCGTTGTCAATATGATCTGAAAAAAAAAATAAAGATTAAATATTTTTATAAGTAGATAACGTATTTTTGTAAAATAAAATGCTTTTCATATTGATATGCAAATTGTAATTTTTCACTTCTATAATAAGCCTACACATTATACATTTTTGTTGTAAAAAGGTAAGTAAATGAATAGACATGAAAACACATTGCTGGAAAAACATTGAGCATTTCAATAAAAGGAATATTTAAAATAAACTTTTAATTAAATAACAATCCCATTTTAAAATACATTTCTTAGAATTAAAGTAAACAAAAAATATAGGTCTTGTTTATCAATGCAAATAACATTTTCTGGGTTGCTACAATGTAGGATGCTGAAATGGAATTATCTTATCATTTTAAAGCTGTCCTTGAATTTATTTACAATTTCGTTTAGATTAGTATTTTATATCTCTATTCATAAAATAGGTAAAAAGTCGTTTGAAGAATAAAGAAAAATTCAAGATGTTTAACTAATGTTTCAATGTTTTCATCTGATCATAGAGTTTTAGGGTCTTGGATGATATTAAATAAGGAGAAAATGATTACCTTTTATTGTATTCGAAACATTTGTCTGCTGATCTTTCAAATCTGCTAAAATGTACGCTTGGTGATACTTATCCTCTTCATATCCTGTTGAGAAATTTTGAAAGCTTACGGTTATTTGCAATAATTCTTGATTGATCAGATTTGCACTGGTGTTAACAGTTTGTAAAATATTTGAATTCATAGCTTCTGTTTCTCTCTCAAGGCCCATAATTGAGAGAGAAATGTACCTAATTTCCCTCTTAAAATTCTGAATCTCTTTTGTTATGTTTGCAAAATCACACTGACATACAGTCTGGCCTGGGTTTGGAATACTATTTGAAGAAACGTTCACATGTTGTTGGTGATACGATATCGCATCCTTTAGGTTGTCATTTTCTTTGGTGAGTTTGGTAATGTTTCTAAGTAGTTGTCGATTCAATGCGTTCTGGTCAATTTTGGCTTGCTTCAAAATACTAATTTCCGTTTCAGCTGCAGCTTGGTCCGTTTTCATTCGTTCAAATTGCTTTATTAGATCTCGAACATTCCTTTCTAGCTCCATTCTAAGTGTGGTTTCTTGAGTAAGGATCTGATGTAACAATGCTGCATCACTAGGAAAATTTTTCTCGGGGGAATTAGAAACATATTGTGTGGTGGATGTTGAACCGGGGCTTGAAAGTCCAAAGGCAAAATCAGCGTTGATTAAAATCAAGAAAATGAAAAGAATCGTCATTTTATTAAATCACGCTAATTCTATGTTCACAATAGTTCAGACACATTTGCATGAACAAACACTTTGCAATTGTGTTTCAATTGTTTATCATAGTACGGTGTTGCCGCCTATCATAAAGTCAACATTTTTAGTAGGGCCTTGTTTAAAGTATTTTGTAAAAATATTGATAAGAGGTTGGTAAGATAATGTCAGTCATGTGATTCAAAATACCCTGGTACATTAAAGTCAGTGTAACTAAGTTTAAACAAAGAAATATTTAAATGAAGCGTGTTCCTTTCTTAATTGATTTATATTAAAGCTGAACACTACTCGTTAAAAGGCATACCGTATATACCCGCCATTAAGTCGGCTTCTTGGGAGTTAAAGTTTAGTCCAAAAGTCTAGGCGAGTCATAAAAGACTGGTATTTTTCTGGACAGCGAAACGTAATATCCTATTAATATTTTTAACAGTTATTGGTGAACAAAGTCTGGATTTATCATATCATGTTTGCATTCTAAGATTAAACATTAAATACATGTATTTATATAGTACATGTATTTAATAATTTTATTTGTTAATCTTGAGAGGACATTATCTATTTTGAAAAATAATTTAAAGTTAAAAATATTATTTGAAACCTGGTTAAAATATCAGATCATTCATTTAAAATTGTCATCTGGTTCTGACTTATAAGCGGGTCAATGACAAATTCATTCAAAATATCCTAAAAAAAATTCAACCGACTTATAAGCGGACCGACTTATAGGCGAGAATATACGGTATTCCGCCATATTTTCCGTTCAACAACACTTTCCCTACAACCCCTATATAAGGAGCAGATTTTCAAAAAAAATAATTGTATTTCGCTATAAATGTCCGACGAGTGATGACGTACATCTCGCACTGCTGTGCTACTCGTAGGCAATGAAATTATTATATTCAACGCATTTTTGTCCAAAACAGGAGAAAACTTTAATGAAAATACAAGTGAATACACCATTTACAAACAAAACAAAGCACTTCAAAACACAAGGAATTAACGCAAAAAAAGGAACTGAGATCACGAGAGGAGTATTTCATGTTGACCACGAGTTTTAAGTGTGAAATCGGGTGTAAGGAAATTGAAGAGCTTATATCCCGTCTGAAAGTGCCTTTTTATATGAAGTGTTCAATTTTTATTGTTCAAGAAGTTAGCTTAGGAAGGGTGCATTAAAAGCAACACATTAGCTTAGTGCTTGCGATTTTGATAAGGTATACTATGTTTTTAAAGGAATTTTAAAACTTTTGTATATATTTATTTATTTCATTTTCTTTGTAATGTGATAACAAATAAAGTCAATGGAAAAATATTAATTCTTTTTTTTTTGACATATAAACTATGTATTTTTAATTTTATCCATCAACTACCCCTTGCATTTGGCCCTAATAAATATAACATACAGCCCGGAAAATTAAAATACCGGTAAATAAATGTAAAATAGCATTTTATTTATCATTGTAGATTAACACTGTACATTCACACTCTTTGTGTGTATTTACAATGTTTGGATTTATATCGAATAACATCACACATTAATATTCTATCTTTTATCCCAATCGACAGATCAATATGTTATTTTGATTGGTCGACACGCTGATTGGCTAATCGCTAATCCTGATTGACAGCTCAGTAAAGAAAAACTGAAAGCACGACCCCTACCTGCAAGCTGGAACCGCTACTGAATTTGGGTTTGCTCTCTGGGTCCACTTCCGGTTCAGACGAGGTCCCCTACGGGTTCGTTCGGGGTCAGCCCTAGCTCCAGGTTCGCTTTCTGAAGATAACCTTGTCAGTCTTACAGACACCTTAGAATAAACCTGCTCCAAATATTATAACCTGGTAGCACAACTAGAAATTATAGGCAAGTTAAGCATCCAAAGTAAGTCAAGCATTGTACATTGGATATATCCTTTCTGAAAGTCTGATCAACATAGGACTATAGTTACTTTAGAATTAACCTGCTCCGAAACTCGAACAAACATGGTTATCCATCCAAAAAAAAAAAGATCTGATTTCTTATCCAAAGCAGTCCAATGCCGAACTGTACACGTGTACTCGGAAATGACACATTATCTAAAATCTTTAATCAACTTAAAAAACTTACACGATCATTGTTTACCTGATAATAAAGCATCTGAAACCTTCTATTATTTTAATATTATATTGTAAAATTCTATTAATGTAGTAAACGCATCATTCTTTCTTATTCAGAGGCCAAAGAAGTACTTAAAAACAAATCTCTTACAAAATATTTACCCATGACATTATTACATAAACCCCCTTCTTCCAAACTTTGTTATGTGAGCACAAAATTCATATTAAACATGCCCCCAAAAAGTAGAATAATAGATTTCGTAAACCCTTGACATTAAATTCTTTATCAAGTCTTTAGTTCAGGTGAACTACACAGGTAACAGGTATTGGACAATTAGATACATGTATTAAGCCAATACATAAATAGTTCTTTCGTACTCGAAATCATAGATTTACTTCTATACCTGCAGCTTAAAAATAGAGATTATGTAGACCTGTATATGAAAATTGATTAGGGTATATGTCTGAATATCAGTTCGTTACACCGCCAAACATTCTTCTGTGATGTTTGAGGTGAGCAAATGTACTTGTCAAAATTCCTAAGTCCACACTTTTATTTTTTCTAAAATGTCAAAACCTTAATATCATTGTACTAGTTGCTTATAATTTTGCCAATAATTTGCAATACTTACCTGTCAAGGCCAAAAAAAATTGTAACTGAATGTGTAATTACTCGACCATGACCGTAATTGTTAAAAAGCATTAAGTTCGAGTTCCATGTGTTTTTCGGGGTTATTTTTCAATTTTTTTTCTACCATTTGTTCTCCATCTTAAATTGATAACGAAAAACAGAAAAAAAATTGATTAAAATGAGGTGTTTGTCCACATAACAGTGTAAAATTGAAGTTGAAATGGCCCGAGCTGGTGGAAGTTAACAAAAGTTCTGTTTCCTTTCACTGTATGACTTTATTTTTACTTAAAACCTTTAAAATTACCGCCCGTGAAACCTACAAAGCACAGCTAAATCTCTTTTAATTACTAGAAATCTCTAGATTTGTAAACAAACACGACAAAATCATCCCAGAGTTTGTTCGGAAAAATCAATGGAACTGGAACTGGAAGTGCCCTCCCCTCAATGTCAAACTGGAGGAGTTGGGAAATACATGATTGTAATGAGACATGTACATGTAACTATTGTCAGCAAGTCACAGGCACTTTTGGTAAGTCTCCTTGTCATCCTAATCTTATCCCGTACTTGCATGTATGGAAGAAGATAGACCGGAGTTTGAGACAGCTTTTCCAGCAGCAGAATCTAGAGGATCTAGAGGACAACTTAATCTCCACATGGAAAAACATAGAATAAAAGAACTTTTCTTAAATAGTGTGAACTCTTTGAGGAATGGTTGTCTTAATGTGAATTTGTTTGAATGGAGTACATGTATAGTGCAGTATTTAACGTTGTGAATTTTTAATTCTAGGTTGCCTTAACGTCTCTGCATATTGTGTTTAAGTGCTTCAATGAAATAAATTACCGGTAAGTGCGAAAAATTGTTTTGCTACTTTTTTTATCCTGTATACTTATTTAATTATACTGTTAAAATAATTCATTATAAGAGCGGTGTAAAGAAAAAAACTTGCATGGGGACTTAAAAATTTTGACTAGTATAGTATTAAACAAGTAGTTCAAAGAATCTCAAAACCCATTTTATACACAGAAAACTACTGTACTAGATACTCGTGTGTAATTTAGGGATTACATTTTGAGAGCTCAAAACACTAAGTATCTTTAATTTAACATCGGGAGAGGGTAACATTGACACATGTATACCCTTGAATCTTAAACAAATCGTTGTCCCGTGCTTTTAGTAGGTCAAGTATGTCTACACTCGAGGTTATGGTCAAGTAGTCAAAAACTAGATAAATTTTCACACGTAATATACCTGTAAAATGTGAAAGGCTGTTAATCTATTTTTAGGTCACCTGAGTAAACTCAGGTGACCTATTACTATCTGTTTTCGTCCGTTGTGCGTTAACATTTGAACATTTTCGGCTTCTTCTCTGCAACCACTGAACAAATTTCAACCACATTTGGCATAAAGCATCTATGGTTGAAGGGAAACAAAAATTATGAATTTCATGATCCCTGGTTTGCTAACAATTGTACAAATATAGCTTGAATTAGAATGTTATTGTTTTCAAATTCTTTGATTTACCATGCAACTTTATTATTTCTGCAACATTGAAGCACACATCACGTTCAATGACGTTCCTAACTCTTTTGACAATATTTTAAACTTTAACCTTTTTCTTTGCATACAATCCATCGTCCGATTCAAAATCACTACCACTCAAAAATTGTATTTTCAACTTAATACAAATACACAGATTTTTTTTTCCATTCAGATCCTGATTTATAAGGATTTTTTAAGCTTGTAGAAAAAGTTTCCCGAATGTAAAGTCTAATTTTATTGCTACCTGCTGCTCCGTGACGTCCTCCAACGTTATGGTTTTTTTCCTTTTTTTAATCAAGTCCATATGTATTTAGAAGCTGATATCTTTTAAATGGAACGAGATATTATATAACCTGATTTTATTTTAATTAATTCAGCAATACTTTATTTTAACATGTAAATTTTATTTCGTTTCAGCTCCATTTATTAGAGGTATAGCTGTAAATACTATAAAGTGAAAATTAAAAAAAATACTCAATTTTGACGGTGCTCCGTGACCCCATTTTTGATTTTCTAAATCCTTGGTAATTTTAATAAATATAATGATACATTCCAATTATTTTCACAAATTATTTGAATCTGTTGTTAAAATATTTGTACCAAATTTGGATATCATATGACGTTAAATAAAAAAAGTTAGGCGAAAGTCTATGAACTTTTTGAATGACACTCGTAAAATGCTTTTCATATTGATATGCAAATTGTAATTTTTCATTTCTATATTAAACCTACACATTATACATTTTTATTGTAAAAAAGGTAATTAAATGTTTAGACATTAAAAAAACTTTGCTGGAAAAACATTGAGCATTTCAATGAAAGGAATATTTAAAATAAACTTTTTTCGTAAATAACAATCTCATTTCAAAAATGCATTTCTTAGAATTAAAGTTTACAAAAAATAAAGGTGTTGTTTATCAATGCAAATAACATTTTCTGGGTTGCTACATTGTAGGATGCTGAAATAGAATTATCTTGCCATTTCAAAGCTATCCTTGAATTTATTTACAATTTCTTTTAGATAAATATTTTATATCTCTATTAATGAAATAAAATACGTAAAAAGGCTTTTGAAGAATAAAGAAAAATTCAAGATGTTCAACTAATGTTTCAATGTTTTCATCTGATCATAGAGTTTCAGGGTCTTGGAGGATATAAAATAAGGAGAAAATGATTACCTTTTATTGTATTTGAAACATTTCGTTGTTGATCTTTCAAATCTGCATGATTAATCAGATTTGCACTGTTGTTAACAGTTTGTAAAATATTCGAATTCATAGCTTCTGTTTCTCTCTCCAGGTCTATAAATGAGAGAGAAATGTACCTAATTTCCCTCTTAAAATTCTGAAAATCTTTTGTTATGTTTGCAAAATCACACTGCCATATAGTCTGGCCTGGGATTGGAATACTATTTGAAGAAACGTTCATATGTTGTTGGTGATACAATATCGCATTATCCTTTAGGCTGTCATTTTCTTTGGTGAGTTTGGTAATGTTCCTAAGTAGTTTACCAAACTCACCAAAGTAGTTGATTCAATGCGTTCTGGTAAATTTTGGCTTGCTACAGAATACTAATTTCCGTTTCAGCTGCAGCTTGGTCCTTTTTCATTCGTTCAAATTGCTTTATTAGATCTCGAGCATTCCTTTCTAGCTCCATTCTAAGTGTGGTTTCTTGAGGAAGGATCTGATGTAAGAATGCTGCATCACTGTGAAAATTTTTCTCGGGGGAATTAGATGCATATTTTGTGGTAGATGTTGAACCGGGGCTTGAAAGTCCAAAGACAAAATCAGCGTTGATTAAAATCAAGAAACTGAAAAGAATCGTCATTTTATTAAAATCACGCTAAATCTATGCTCACAATAGTTCAGACACATTTCATGAACAAACACTTTGCATTTGTATTTCAAGTGTTTATCATAGTACTACGTTGCCTATAATTAAGTCAACATTTTTAGTAGGGCCTTGTTTAAAATATTTTGTAAAAAAAAATTCTCTTGGGGTCAGCCCTAATGGATCCTGAGCGAACCCGAAGCGGACCCAGAGAGCGAATCTGGAGTCCTCTTTTCTCTTAGGTTGAGTTCGGATGCTATTGTAGATAACCTTGTCAGTCTTACAGACACCTTAGAATGAACCTCTTCCAAATATTTTAACCTGGTAACACAACCAGAAATTATAGGCAAATTAAGAATCCTAAGCAAGTCAAGCATTGTACATTGGGTATATCCTTTCTGAAACTCTGATCAACAAAGGACTATATTTACTTCAGAAATAACCTGCTCCCTAAACTCTATCAAACATGGTTATCCATCCCAAAAAATAGATCTGGTCTATCATCCAAAGCAGTCCAATGCCGAATTGTACACGTTTACTCGGAAATGACACATGCTCTAAAATCTTTAATCACCTTACAACATTTACACGATTATTGTTTACCTGATAATAAAACATCTGCAACCTTGTTTTATTATTATATTATATTGCAATATTATATTGTAATAGCCCCGTGGGGATCCGGGTTAGAATAGGTCCTCAGTACCCCTTGCTTGTCGTAAAAGGCGACTAAATGGGGCGGTCCTTCGGATGAGATCGTATAAACCGAGACCCCGTGTCACAGCAGGGGTGGCACGATAAAAATCCCTCCCTGCTCAAAGGCCCTGAGTGCCGAGCATAGATCTAACTTTGAAGCCCTTCGCCAGCAATGGTGAGTCTCCATATCAGTGAAATATTCTGGAGAGGGACGTTAAACAATATACAATTAATCAATCATATATTGTAATATTCTATTAGTGAAGTTAACACATCACTCTTTCTTATTACAGGACATAGAAGTACTTGAAAACAAATTTCTTACAAAAATATTTACTCATGATATTATAACATAGACCCCCTCTTTCAATTCTTTGTTAATGTGAGCACAGAAATCATAGAAAACGTGTCCAAAAAGTAGAATAATAGATTTCTTAAACCCTTGACTTTAAATACTTTAGCAGGTCTTTAACTCAGGTGAACTACACAGATAAAGGTATTGGACCATGAGATACATGTAGTAGGCCAATACAAAAATAGTTCTTTCGTACTCTAAATCATAGATTTACTTCTATACCTGCAGCTTAAAAAAGATATTGTGTAGACCTTATGTAAAAAGTGATTAGGGTATGTGTCTAAATATCAGTTCGTTACACCGCCAAACATCCATCTGTGATGTTTTAGGTGAGCAAATATACTTGTCAAAATTCCTAAGTCCGCACTTTTATTTTTTCTAAAAGTTCAAAACCTTAATATAAATGTACTAGTTGCTTATAATTTTGCCTTTAATTTACAATACTTACCTGTCCAGGCCAAAAAATTGTAATTGAATGTGTAATTACTCGACCGTGACCGTTTTGGTTAAAAAGCATTAAGTTCAAGTTTCATGTGTTTTTCGGGTTTATTCTTCATATTTTTTACTTCCATTTCTTCTCCTTCTTTAATTGATAACGAAAAACAGAAAAAAAATGATTAATGTGATGTGTATGTCCACATAGCAGTGTGAAATTGAAGTTGAAATGGCCCGAGCTGGTCAAAGTTAACGAGAGTTCTGTTTCCTTCCACTGTATGAATTTATTTTTACCTAAAACCTTTACAATTACCGCCCTAAAAACCTACAAAGCATAGCTGAATCTCTTTCAATTACTAGAAATCGCTAGATTTTTAACAAACACGACAAATTCATCCCAGAGTTTATTCGGAAAAATTAATGGAACCGGAAGTTCCCTCCCCTTAATGTCAAACTGGAGGAGTTGGGAGTACATTTAATTCAAGGCACAGACACTTTCGGTAAGTCCCCTTGTCATCTTAATTTCATCCCTTACTTGCATGTATGGAAGAAGATAGACTGTAGTGTGAGACAGCTTTTGCAGCAGCAGAATCTAGCGAATCTAGAGGACAACCTAGTCTACACATGGATTGATTGTATACTGTTTAACGTCCCTCTCCAGAATATTTCACTGATATGGAGTCGTCACCATTGCCGGTGAAGGGCTGCAAATTTGGGTCTATGCTCGGCACTCAGGGCCATTGAGCAGGGAGGGACCTAAATCGTGCCACACCTGCTGTGACACAGGGCCTCGGTTTATACGGTCTCATCCGAAGGACCGCCCCATTTAGTCGCCTTTTACGACAAGCAAGGGGATACTGAGGACCTATTCCAACCCGGATTCCCACGGGATTCTATTCTAACCCTAAAAGAACATTTCTTAAATTGTGTGAACTCTTTGAGGAACGGTTGTCTTAATGTGTATCTGTTTGAACTGAGTATAGTGCAGTATTTAACAATGTGGATTTTTAATTGAAGGGTGCCTTAACCTTTCTGCATTTTGTGTTTAAGTGCTTCAATGAAATAAAGTAAGTGCGAAAAATTGTTTTGCAACTTTTTTTATCCTGTTAGTTATTAAATTATGCTGTTAAAATAATTTATTATAAGAGCGAACAAACTTGCCAGGGGACTTAGAAATTTTGACTAGTATAGTATTAAACAAGTAGTTCAAAGAATCTCAAAACCCATTTTATACACAGAAAACTACTGTACTAGATACTCGTGTGTAATTTAGGATTACATTTTGAGAGCTCAAAACACTAAGTATCTTTAATTTAACATCGGGAGAGGGTAACATTGACACATGTATACCCTTGAATCTTAAACAAATCGTTGTCCCGTGCTTTTAGTAGGTCAAGTATGTCTACACTCGAGGTTATGGTCAAGTAGTCAAAAACTAGATAAATTTTCACACGTAATATACCTGTAAAATGTGAAAGGCTGTTAATCTATTTTTAGGTCACCTGAGTAAACTCAGGTGACCTATTACTATCTGTTTTCGTCCGTCGTCGTGCGTCGTGCGTTGTGCGTTAACATTTGAACATTTCCGGCTTCTTCTCTGCAACTACTGAACAAATTTCAACCACATTTGGCATAAAGCATCTATGGTTGAAGGGAAACAAAAATTATGAATTTCATGATCCCTGCCCCCCCCCCCGGGGGGGCCTGTTGGGTTGGGCCAAAACCACTTAAATTAGTACAATCTTTAAAAATTTTCTTCTTTACTCCTGGACATCAAGCAGTCAAACTGTTTGCATGATAACATTGTAATCAGCAATGAGTCCTGTACCAAGATTGTGAAATTCATGGCCAAGGGTCACATGCCAGTGCTAGGGCGGGGCTAAATAAGTAGGTAGTGAAAATGCATTATTTCTTTGAAAATCTTTTTCTCTGCTCCTGGGTATTAAATTAAGTAACTAAGTATATAGTTATGATGAGCAAGAGTGCCTCTACCAAAATTGTGAATTTTATGGCCTCAGGGTCAGGGGTTCTGGTGTTAGGGCGGGGCTCTATTGATTATATAGTGAAAATACATGAATTCTTTGAAAATCATCTTTTCTGCTCCTAGGTATTAAATAAAGTAACTAAGTGCATAGTTATGATGAGCAAGAGTGCCTCTACCAAAATTATGAATTTTATGGCCCCAGGGACAGGGGTTCTGGTGTTAGGACGGAGCTCTATAGATTATATAGTGAAAATACCTCAATTCTGTGAAAATCTTCTCTGGGGTTCTGGTGTTCGGTTGGGACTCTATTGATCATATAGTGAAAATACATGAATTCTTTGAAAATCCTCTCCTCTGCTCCTAGGAAATAAATAAACTAACTAAGTATATAGTTATGATTAGCAAGAATGCCTCTTCCATAATTGTGAATTTTATAGCCCCAGGGTCAGGGGTTCTGCTGTTAGGGCGGGGCTCTATTGATTATATAGTGAAAATACATGAATTCTTTGAAAATCTTCTCCTCTGCTCCTAGGAAATAAATAAACTAACTAAGTGCATAGTTATGATGAGCAAGAGTGCTTCTACCAAAATAATGAATTTTTTGGCCGCAGGGTCAGGGGTTCTGGTGTTAGGGCGGGACTGTATTGATTATATAGTGAAAATACATGAATTCTTTGAAAATTTTCTCCTCTGCTCCTAGGAAATAAATAAACTAACAAAGTATATAGTTATGATGAGCAAGAATGCCTCTTCCATAATTGTGAATTTTATAGCCCCAGGGTCAGGGGTTCTGCTGTTAGGGCGGGGCTCTATTGATTATATAGTGAAAATACATTAAATCTTTGAAAATTTTCTTCTCTGCTCCAGGGTATTAAGCAGATGAACTACCAATATAGTTATGATGGACATGGGCCCATATCTTCCACAATCGTGAATTTCAAGGCCCCAGGGTCAGGGGTACCATAGAGAGGGGGGGGGGTGGTTGTACTTATATACTGAAAATGAATTAATGTTTTGAAATCTGCTCCTTGGTATTAATCAAATATCAAGGCCTTAGGATCAGGGGTTCATGTATGGTAGGGGCACTACTGATTATTGCTGAATATTACTCATTAGTTGAAATGCATTTTGTGTTCCCTTACCCTGCGTATGGGTATTAAGTAAACAAACACAGCAACTGCTAAGTGTATTGTTATGATGATCAATGGTGCCTCTTTCAAAATTGTGAATGCCATAGCATCTGGCTTAAAACATGAATCAAATTCAATCACTGGAAAGTTGTTGCATAATGCTCAGGTGACCTATAGGGCCCATGGATCTCTTGTTATTTCAAAAGTTTAAAAGAGGGACAGACTGACTGAGAGACGGACAGACAAAGATTTCATTCTCGAGAGCAGGGCCTACTTATCAGGAAATAGTTTTTGAATATAGCATTTAAACAAGCAAATTCAAAGTATTGTGGGCTCCAGTTTTTGGTGTCATTTTAATTGAGATGTCATATTTTATGACATATTTTTTTTTAAGTTTATTTTTTTTTTATTAGGTCAGTCCTGAAGGTAAGGGTTCAAAAATCAAATAAAGAAAGGAAATATCTTGTCACAGATAAAGTACAATTCAAATATGAAAGTAAAATCTTATCTCAATCTAAAATAAAATTAAAATGTTTGAAGGGTATATGAAACTTTAATTCAAGGTCTCAAGATAAAAAACCATAGTGTATTAAGAAAAAAAATTGTGAAAGGCAATATTCAGGTTAAATACAGGTTTAATATGAAAGCTCTATCTTTCCTTATTTAAGAGTCATGACAAAGGTTGAAGTTATAGAAGAGTAGACTAACCTCAAAGGCTAATGTCATGAGGTAAAAAACTGAATTGTATATATATGAGTATATATTATAAAAGGTCCCGTCAGAGGTAATACACATGTAGAAAATGAAAACACTGTCTACCCTGATTGGAAAGAAATGGTCAATCTAAATTAATATTTTTATTTTTTAAGTAGGTCAAACTTCAAGGTAAAGGTTGCGTCAAAAATCATAGTGTATTAAGAAATGTTCCGTCTCAGGTAATATACATTTATAATATGAAATCCCAATCTTTTTTCTCATTCAAAAGAAATGAGCAATTGAAAGGTATTTATCTGGAAAAGAAAGTCAAACTTCAAGATCACGAGATCAAAATATTATCGTCTATTTAAGAAGGACTTTTCCTGGATAATAATTATTTTTCATGTGAAAGCCCTATCTCTTTTCACTAAATAGTTATGGCCAATTCAAGGTAATTTATCTTTAAAATAAAAAAACTTCAAGCTCACCGTCAAGGGTCAAAAAATCATAAAATAATTAGAAAGGTCTTTTCACATGTAATATACATACATAATATGAAAACTTTTCTCTTTTAATTCAAAAGAAATGACCAAAAATAAAGTTATTGAAATGTATGTCAAACTTCAAGGTGAAGATCACGAGGTCAAAAATCGTTTTATATTAAGACAGATCCTGTCACATGTATACACGTTATTCATATGAAAGCCCTATTTCTTATTCAAAAATTATGGCTAATTCAAATAAGTATGTACGTATTTAAATTTTCCAAAAGCAGGATAAACTTCTCGGTCAAAGTCAAGGGTAAAAAATCATAGTGTATTTAGAAAGGTTTGTGACAGGAAATAAACAAGTGTTATATGAAAGTTCTATTTTTTTTTTCAAAGGATATGATCAAGGTTCAAGATTTTGTGACGGACGGACCGACTGACAGACTGAGATTTAATGCACCCTCACTTTCGCGAAAGCGGAGGACACAATATTTACACCAATAAATTAATTAAAAGATGCTCAGAATGCAAAATTCTTAGTTTAACAAATATTGAATCTGTGATATAAAGGAAATAGCTTTTAAATAGTAAATAAATACAGTGATTTTCTTTACTTTTTTATTACAGCGATATACATTGTTTGCGAATTACAGAGAAACAGGATATGCAAGGTACTCAGGCTTTTTAAAATTTCAGACTGAACGATAATAAACACATATTCATGCAAAAATTCATTTCAACGCCGACTAATCATGACACTTGTCACTTTTACTGTTTATCAGTCATTCGTGCATAGATATAGTACATTTCTCTGGAAGATTATATGAAAGATATTTCAAAAAGTTTTCCAAGTGTAAGGTTTAATTCAAAATGACAAAAGGTTAACATATAATAAAAACGCTTATTTACTGAATAACATGATACATACGAATAGATAATGATTAATAATAAATTAATTTAATTAGAGCAACATGACAATTACAACAAAATTCTGCAAGAATTTTGGATAACTTGCCGAGTTACAATTGAATGAAAAACAGACGATGATATTTGTGTAATGCAACATTACAAAAATATTTGATTGTATAAATCACCTGTTAGTACATGTAAGGAATTATCTTTTGTTAGCTTTGAGTAATAAAGACAACGGGAATATCAATCAAATTTTCCTTTTTATTTTAAATTATAAACTATTTATATTTTTGATTGCAGTAAAATTTTATAGAGATTATGATTCGCGAGCTTTATTGAAAAGATCAGATTTAAATTGCAGACTATGTATAAATTACATGTTTAAACAACATTTAAGCGGATAACAAGGATTGAAAGGAAGAGTAGTAATGCCTTTTTTTTATAATGTTGGGTAAAAAAATGTGAACGAATTCAAATATTTAGTGGTCCTCATGAGTGCAAAATAAGAGTTACCAATGGTCAACATTTGAATACTTAGAAAAATAAGATATTTTAGTTTAAGTGAAGACAGATATATCTGTTTAAAAGAGTTAAAAGCCAAATTTTGGTTCATAAAATATGTGGAGTTAACGAAACATATTTGAGCTCGAAAGTTCATTAAACTTTACAAAATAGAAGCAGATCAAACATGGACCTCCAAAACATCAGAGGTGGGGCAAGTACCATTGAGGAGTGAATATCTGTCTCGTCACAACATCTTTATCATCGATAGTAAAGAGTGTTAAAATATATTGACAACTCAGTATTGCTTCACAAATTTAACAACTTACACAATATCTCGCAGAGTATATAAAGTCGCTATTGTGAAGACAATTAAGTCCAATGGTTGAAGATTTTTGAAAAGTGAAATTTAGAGTAGATAAATAGAGCTTAATGAGTTTATCTCCAAAAGGAACTTATATAATCTGGATTAATATGATGTAGATTTTCAACCTGATGTTGAGGACATGTGATCCTGTCTCCAACGGGGAGATCTTTCTCTTCAATGAAACTTTCTGTTACTTTCATACCTAATATTTGTTCTCTCTCATTGTCACAGGTATACCCTATTCGATATGCTAGATTCTTATGAAAGGTACTAGATATGTCCTTCATTATATTTTCAATGCAACTTCTCACAGATAATGTTACATTTTTTGACATTTCGATTCCCTGTTCAGGATGAAAGATTTGTAATTGAATCGTTGTATCTGTAACTGCTACTGCAATATTATGATTTTTGTATGTAAACATGGCAGCATCTTTGTACAAACAACTGATATTGTTACTTTTCAGAGCTCTCCAATGTTTGATCTCCATAATTTTGACAACCAAACGATAGAAAAGAAAGTATGGTAGAAAGTCGAAGGAGAAGACAAGGATAGATGACTTGGATGATGAGGTTATAATGACATGCTTTTGTTCTTCACCAAAATTCTTTTTGTTCATACAAGGAATGTAGTGAGACGTTTCTCCAATGGACATCAAACCTAATCTTTGCATGTACATCAATAATGTTTGTTTGTGATACAACAGAAAACGGGCATCCTTATCTAATTCATCATTTACTGAGATGTTTTCCTCTTTCAAAGAGGTGAGTAAATTTTCGTCTTCTTTTCTCCATATTTCAGTGAGAAGAGAATCTTGAATATGACCTGTACTATAGTATTCCTGCCAATCCTTTCCACTTGCAATGACTCCCTGGACGTGTTTTTCGTCTGTAATTATGGTTTTGAATGCATCAACAAACCATTGCACATCAATAATTGCATACTTATTCAGCTCTGCCTCATTGAAGAAAAGGACTTTTCCAGCATCGTGGTAATACCGCAACATATCATTAGCTGCATGAACGCGAGAAGAATTATTTACAGGCATTCCCTCCAATATATCATTTACAGACATGATACGTTGTTCTCTTTTTGTGTTTGATATCTCATCATTTAAAAATACCCATTCATGAGGAATGTTCTCCTTCCACTTTTTGTCTTTTGCTATTCTTACTAGAATATCTTCAAGGTCAGTTAGAGCTTCCAAAGGAAACTGTGTGCAGAAACATCTGTCCTCTCTAATGTATTGCCCAAGATTACATTCCGATGGTAAAGCTTCATGAAGTTGGTCCATAAAAATCCGCTTTGTCTAAAAAAGAAACTATGAATTAATTCAAAATAATCTGTGATCCACGGCTCAAGATGTTTTAGTTGTTTTGGTGTTAATATACGAGGTTTGTCCCAAAATTACGTAGACTGAGCTCATATCTTTAATTTTAAAGAAACAAACTAATTCAGAGAATTTTTGTCCCCCGCTAAGGGAAAAAAGTAAACCAGTGGGGGTCGGATTTTTCTTGACTGAATTTGTAGAATTATTAAATGTATACATGTATACTGAAGTAAATAAAATATGCCAATATGGATATAAAGGCTTGATTGCTAATTCTCTATTATGTGTATTGAAGTCTTTTATATGGAATATTTATCACACTGTAATGATGATTTTATGAGTTTGCACAAGCCAGATCTCATAAACTTTTCATTTCACATGCTGAATACTATCATGTAGTAAAAAAAAATTTTGGAAAAAAAAAATAATGCCTCGACGGGGAAACGAACCTGGGCCCTCTCACCTGTGAAGCGAGAGACATAACCACTAGACCACGGCGCCACTTAAAACTAAACTAAATTATATGCAAAGATAACGTCACATACATATATATATATATTCACGTTTGATATTGTCAAAAGCTTACAAACTGCATGGTGTCTAATTTAACCTTCATTAAATAGTTATTAGATGTAATAAGAATATAAAGTCCACCGAGAACCTGTTTTATACGTAATAACTCGCCTCATGCCCCTATGCTAAAAAATAGCGACATGTAATACAATAAATACTAATAAAACAAGGGGGTGGGACACTTTGAGAGGGGTAAGAGAGGTCCTAAGGAGTTTTGGTATAAAATTTCTTTGCAAAAGCTAAAAATCTTCTTAAAATATCGCCTGGAAAAGATAGTGTTTCATACTGTCAGAATGTATAAATTTACGACCTTGAACTTTGACCTTTTGACCTCAGAATCAATAGAGGTCTTTCATAGGCCACAGGGAGTTGTTATGTAAAATTTCATTGTAAAAGATCAAAGAGTGTTCGAGATATCGCGCGGAAACGAAAGTGTTATAACACAGAGAATTTTCGAATTTATGACCTTGACCTTTGACCTTTGGACCTCAAAATCAATAAGGGTCTTCCTTAGCCCATATTTGGGAGTTGCTATGCAAAATTTCATTGCGAAAGCTCAAATGGTTCTCGAGATATCTTGTGGAAACGAAAGCGTTAAAGACAGACAGAAGGACGGACGGACGGACGGACAGACCCAAATTAATATCCCCACTTTTCAAGCGGGGGACAATTAATGTATTTTAATACAATTTTAAGGTTGGATAAAATGTGCTCTTGGCAGAAAAATTACGAAGTTTTATCATCTTTACTTGAAAACTTTTCGAGTAATATCATTTACAGAGATATTGTTCTCTAACACCCGGAGCAATCTGCAATGTCAAAAAATACAAATGTCCACGGTTCAATTTTTTTGTAGAAAATATATCAATTACCAGAGTCAAATTCATAAATTAAACGAAACGGTTATGGTTATAATTGTGAAATATCTTAATTATTATGCTATTATCAAACATTAAAATATGTAAACAAAGTATTCGCATGTATAGGTATAAAATAATAAAAATTTGAAAACACTATTTCTACGAGCTTTTCGTCTTTTTTCTCTAATAGAGTTGCACGTTTGAATTCTTGCACATTTCTTAGCACTATCTTTTATTTAAGTTACTGATATTCACACATACATAGAGAAACTGTTTTAGTCATTATAAATACTAAGGACGAGAAAAGTGTTGTCTAGTCTACCAAACATTTATGACTGGTACATTTCTGTAAGAGTGAATTTAGGATCAAAACACTTGATCACAGTCCAGTGCGCAGCCTGTGCCAAAACAACCGCCATTTTTTTTCAAAATGTCGAATTTCAACCCTATGTACATGTATATATATAAATACGTTATGATATTTATATCTATTAAAGCATCAATACCAAAATTTGAGAAAATATGGTTCATAAAACAGTTTTAAGAATTTGGTTACCATTCGAAAAATACAGGGTAATAATTACTTTTCCTAAGGATTTTAAATATGATAAACCAATTTTTAACTGCAACTTTTGGGTATTGTGCCGCCTTCCTACACCAGATATCTCAATTCATGTAACATACATTTAGATTTTTATAATCCGTCTTCAGGTGTATAAGCTTTGAACCGAGTTTTTACTTCGTACCCTTATCACAAGCTCCAGACAGCTCAGTATTACGTTACGCTACAACTCCATATCATCGCTGCCCCAGGCCTTTTGATATGACCTCGTTCAACCGAGGTTGACTGCGTGACGTCACAGTTACATAAGGCGCGGTAAAATTTAGAGACTGCTAGGTGAAGTTCTGTGCTTACAGCAGCTGAGTTAGATCTAAAAATTGTATATGATTATGCGAGAAAAATTCTGTTGATACATGAAAATTCATACAAACATTAGCGAAACCCTGTTTTAATATCTTTTTTTATTTAAATGTTCAAGTTGTCATGTTTATCATGGTTTATACCATGTACACGCGAGATACTAATGTCTATAAAAAATTGATATCTATGTGCTAAGTACAAAATTCAATTAGCATATAATAATTTTATCTCAGAAAAAAAAATCATTAAGTCCATCTGACATTAATAAGCTTTATGCTAACAGCCTGCTTATTTTCTGATTTGTTTGAATCGGTGTATGAAATTCAAATTTACATATTGACGCCGATTATATTGTAAAAGATAGAAATTGGTCAAGAATCATTATACACAATGATTAAACTGCTTCAGAATATTTTTCTTTTTTTTACCGTTTTATCTTTCTATTCTCCTCTCCATCCTTTTTTTTAAAAAATAGATACTTATATGAATAAAGACGATTATTTTTCATACACCCATTTTAGATTGGGGGAAATATCAACGAAATAATTGAGGAAGTAAACAAATATTAAATCAAAATTCAATTTGCATTTTTTCCGCATTGATAAACAAGAACGTAATATCGTTATAAAATATAAGCGGGCAGACTGATTTTTTTTTTTACGATACAATCCCCCACCCCCTCAACAGAGAGAGAGAGAGAGAGAGAGAGAGAGAGAGAGAGAGAGAGAGAGAGAGAGAGAGAGAGAGAGAGTAGCTCGCTCCGCGAGCCGTCTAAAAACATGAGAACAAACATAAATTATAAATAATCATACCATTTTCGTTGTTCTAATTTTTCCCACTAACAAATTTCGTAACTATGCCAATTTGAATGAATACCTGTATACTTCAAGATACATGTATAAGTGGTGCCCTTTCAATGAACATTTTCAGCAGTAAATGGTTACATGTATGTTCGGAACCCCCCTCCCTTCCTCTATAACGCACTTGATTAAAATTCTCTATCAGCATTTATATCGGTCGTCATTTTACATAAATCTTGATTCATCAAAACTTTTAAAAAAAGTCGGTCTCAGAGCAGTTTCCATGTAGCATGCATTGTGTTGATAGAAAATAAAATATACAACGTACGGACAATTTTTAGTGTCTGTATCATTTGTAGAAAATCTTTCTCTGACCCTGATTGGATAAAATGATTTTTCGTTGTTTTTTTTTTCAATGACAATGCTATCGTGCACCTTTAGAAAAAAGGAAGGGAGTGATGATATTCATAATTCTTTACTTATTAGTTTTAAAATGCAGTCACCACCCCATCCACTTTTCGTTGCAGTAACTTCGAACCACTCCATGATATTATATTCATTTGTGAATATTCTGTTGAAAATACATGCACAATGTCTCTCTCCAATCCGTCTTATGCTTGTCATAGTTTTTGGTATTTTTTATTTTTACTTGCTATGCCCTCCCCCCTTTTCATAGATACTTTTGAAACTGCTTTGTGTCTGATTATTGCTCTAAAAACCTCAGAATTTCCAGCAATTTTTAAACAAGAGGCCCATGGGTAACATCGCTCACCTGAGAAGCTTTGAACGTCATGTGCTATTCTAAACCAGATTTCCCCCTTGTAATACCTATTGTGACACCACTCAACCCCCAGGGGTCATGATATGAACAATTTTAAATCTATATTACCAAAGGATACTTCCATGTAAGTTTCAGCTTTTCTGGCCAAGTAAAATTCTTGAGAAAAAGATTTTTAAATTTATTTCCTATATATTTCTATGTAACACTTTAATTCCCCACTGTGGCCCCACACAATCCCTGGGGGTCATCATTTGAACAAATTAGAATCTACGCTACCCCAGTATGTTTCCAAAAAAGTTTCAGCTTTTCTGGCCTATTGATTCTTGAAAAGAAGTTTTTCAAAGATTTTCCCTATATATTTCTATGTAAAACTTGGATTCCCTACTGTGGCCCTACCTAGCTCCTAGGGGTCATGTTTTGAACAATTTAGAATCTACACTACCCCAGGATGCTTTCAAATAAGTTTCAGCTTTTCAGGCCCAGTGGTTCCCGAGAAGATTTTTAGAAATTTTTCCTATATATACATGTATCTATGTAAAACTTTGATTCCCTATTGTGGCCCCATCTAATCCCTGGGGGTCATGATTATAATAACTCAGAATCTACACTACCCCAGGATGGTTCCACATAAGTTTCAGCTTTTCTGGCTCAGTGGTTCTCGAGAAGAAGGATTTTTAATGACCCCACCCTATTTTTGTCTTTCCTTAATTATCTCCCCATTGAAGAGTATCTGGCCCTCATTTTGAGAATTTAAATTTCCCTTCACCCAAGGATGCTTTGTACCAAGTTTGGTTAAAATTGGCCCAGTAGTTCTTGAGAAGAAGTCAAAAATGTGAAAAATTTACAGACGTACAGCTAGCTAGACAGACAGACGTACGATGGGCAAATTGTGATCAGAAAAGCTCACTAGAGCCTTTGGCTCTGGAGAGCTAAAAATAGTTAGGGCTTATTGTAATTAAAAGCAATACGTACAGTACAATCAATTAAACTCAATATAAAAGGGGGCAGCACAAATTTGCTCATGTCAAATTGTCCACAACTAAAAGAAGGTGAGGGTTTTTTTCTGTATCTTTGTATTTTTTTCCACATTCAATTTGATTCAGTAAAGAGCAGAAATGTATCTCAAGTATTTACATTAAAATACACAATCTCTGTATGGCAGCAAAGGCATGATGGAATTGTTTAATAATGAAAAACTTTGCAAAATAAATACACACTTAGGGTGCTTTTTCTGGATTTCTGGTATCAAACTTGTTATGAATGATACATAAATATAACAACACAATGAAACACTGATGTGATCATTTTATCATTTGCCTCTACATTTTTTTTTTCAAATTAAAAGAAAAAATATGTTGAATATTTACTTGTACTTAAAAATATTCATGTGTAAAACAATGATATATGTGAACAAATTTTCCCAGTTCAACAGGAGTGACTTCTTTTGGGGGCTCATTTTGTCTCTGAAGATCATATCCACTGTTTTTGTCTTTGAATATCATATCCACTTTGATGGTAGGGTGTTGAGTGTTTGAAACAGTGATGCTGACTTTCATCCATTTGTGTTTAGGTAGAAAGGTCCTTCAAAAATCAGTCTGAAAAATAAAATGAATTGTAATAAATGCATACTTCTCACACTGCCTATTTACTTATACACACAGATAAAAAAAATTTTAGTCATTTTAATATGCATCTAAATTTATGAATAACAGATAAATGTAAGTCATTCCAACAAATTAGACAATAAACACAATGTCATGCACATGTAGTTGCATGGTTAATAACTGCATCATGATACATGTATCAGAAAACAAGACGTTTGCGAAACATTGATTCCCTGCATGGCAGCTTATGGCAAATATTGAAGTTTTTCAAATGCAAGTCAAGATCCAAAGGTCAAGGTCAAATTTGGTTATACCCGCCGAAAGGTCTCTATAGAATGAATACATACGTGAAATATGAAAGCAATAGAGTCACACATCCAAATGTGAGCAGCGTTCAAGATTTTGTGGACATACAGACAGATAGACTGACAAATGGACAAACAGGGCAAAAACTATATGCTCCCAAATCTACAAATACATGTACGTGTGGGCATATTAAACAAGTCAAATACGATTATGATGTAATATTGTCCTGATTTACTTAAGCTTACTTTTAATATACTAAAAAACAAAACTGTGGCTAGTGTATGGATATATTGCATAGTATGCAATTTCTTTTTTAGTCTATTAACCTAATTAAAGAGTTTTCACTTTATTTACTTTTGCTGTTTTTATTGTATTAAGAAATCATGAACTTTACATCATTATTTGTTAACTGATGAAATAAACCACATTTTATATTTTTTTCATCTTTGAGATTGAGAATTTCATGGAGAAGTATGAACAAACCGAAAAATGTTTTAAATAAAAAAATGTGAACTTTTGACATTTTGATATTTTTGACATTACAATATTGGTTAACCGTGCTCTGTGGTAACAAAACATGTTGCTTTTAATTTTGGCTTACGTGAGTTCTGTTTAATCAAATGGAATGAAACTTCATACTTCGACAAAATAAATGTTTGTCCTTCCTCTCTAAACAGAAGAACACTGTTTATAAATAAATATCATGCACTTCCTGATCTGTCCCAAATTTGATACTGCTTTGTGTGTTGAAAGAGATAATGATATTTGATATTTGAATTTTTTACCTTGTGATAATCAGGCAGGATCTGTCACAGTGGTCAGAAAAGTGTATCGATAGAGCACCACAGTCCTATATTTCAGGAATTAAGCCTAGTATGACATTTAAGTCATATCCTAGTGTTGTCCTTATTGTTTTCTCCCTTTCCTGTTAAAATCAAACTTTTATTTACTTCTCTATTACAATAGTATTCTTCATTTTCACTTCCTCAGTATGAAATATTTGGATTTTCAAAATTTGTAGCTTGTATAGATACATGTACATGGGATCTGCATGTACACAGTGTTGTACATGTAACATATGGTCTACTTGTATAACCTAGTTGAATAATAACAATGACTTTCTATAATTTTAAGAGTTTATATGCTAGAATGAGATCATTAGGCCTATTTTTTTGTAGAATTCATTATTATGATGTGTTCTAACTCTTCTGGCCTATGCTAATTAAATGGGAGAACTCATGGTCTAAATGGTTATCATAACAATGGAAACATGTTATTCATTTACAGAAATTGTCATCTTATACAGTATTTAAACTTTACCATTTACCACATCAATGTTTCCTCAGCAGTCAGCACTGCCATCACAGAAATTCCACAGCTTTAATTGAGCACAGTCTCGAATTACAAAGCTCTTCGTTTTCTCGAATATTCTCATCATTATTGAAGTCATTCGCACAACTATGAAATATACCATGTCGTTTGCATCGACAGTCTCGTATTTCTTCCAAATTCATTCAGAATGTGTTGTATTACAACCATGAGACACGAAATTTCTCCTCGTTTCCAATAACGCATGGAAGCCGCCATTGCAACTTGGTGTAAACTACGCTTGAAAAAATAATCCGGATTTAATCGGATTGAAAAAATTAAACCATTACTTGCCGTTATCAAAAATAAATAGATCGATTGTTGTTTCCCTTTATTTTCATCATTAAACTTATACACAACATTCAGTTTAAATTTTTTGAAAACCGAATTACTCGCGCAAGCCAATTTTCCAAATTTTGGAAAAAGTTTGGAAAGCCTGTGGCAGTGGCGTTATTCGTAGGGCACGAAAGTAGTCCGGAGAATCGACACTGTATGGAGTTTGCCCTTATCAATGATGTCATAACGTCATTGGAGTATTTGAAGGAAATCAATGACACCACAATTAAAAGTAGGAAGAAATTGAATTTTTCATATCTTTAAGTGCAGTCATCCATCATTAAACTCATGAGGGGAGGCAGTTGTTATCTTATCTTTTTTAAGAAACGTTTTGCAATATATAGTTGTCACGTGATGATATGGTGGTTTTGCACTTTTTTGCCTCAGGAACTCCTATATTTACATTCTAATAGGTACTACGTTTGTTTCTTTTTGAACCTTCCTTTTAGTTTTTTAAAAACCCTTTTTAGCCTTTTAATTCTTTATCGTATGTGGACTCTAATATGCCTCTGAAATTAGAATAAGTGACAACACAAAATCTTCTGAATCTGTTTAATATTTGTTTCATATTTAAATGTTTTATTGACCAAATATGACAACTCTCATCTAACAACTATTTTGACAGACAAGAAGAAGAAGTCAACATTCTATATATTTGTAGTTAGATTGAACTTAAATTCACCTTACTGTTTATATGTCATTACATAAATATTAGAATTACATATTTTGAAAGCAAGGCCTTTGACTAACTGAAACATGTAATATGTAACAGGGAATTCAATAAATTCGTTTAATGACTTATCAAGAAATCAATTATTTGATCGTTATAGCGTTCTTGTTAACGAAAAATAATATATTACGATCACTTACTGATTTTGGTCTAACCTTCCTCATACCAATTGTTATATATAATATAGATTTTCAGTACTGAATATAATGTCGACTTGATCAACAAATGAGGATTATGCTGAATGTATTCAGTCAATATGTAATACGTTCGTGTACTTCTTCTGGCAATTGAATTATTCCGATGTACACCTTTTATTCGGAATATCTTTCTCACAAAACATTTATTCAACTTAATCATTCAATGCTAAGAGTATGCATGCTCTACCTTATGGATACTTTTATCCCAATGTGATGCAATAATTATAACATCCACAATTTTTGCTTTGCCTTTGTCATGGAAACAATACGTATGAATGGATTTTAACCAGAAGAGGAAATAATCTAAAAAGAAAAACAAATATGAAACACGATAACTCAGTGGAAATCAATATCTAGTCTTTTTATGTCCTAATTAGAAATCTAATGAAACTATTAGCAAAATATACATTCTATACATTCTTATTTTCCTTCGCAATTCAAATGTGTTAAGGAGTATATGTCTTAATTCATATTTACAAGAAGTGTTTTAAAGCATGAAATTGATATTAAATGACATATGTAAACAAATGACGGTAATCTTTTCTAAAGAAGGACCATAACGTGTACCATTATATGTCCAGTCAGCAAAAACTGTGTCTGCCTGATCACATACTTCCTTGTCAACAATCTGGTCGAGAGGTTTAGAAGCGTCCACCACCACAACATAGAAGGCTCTCCTGGTCAGGTATATCTGGTGACAGGCGTAGTACGCACACTGTCCCCCGAAGTCAAAGAAACTCAAATTGCTTCTGTTAGAATCTTGGTTTACATTATGGTCATATTTATTTTTCTTCTTTTGTAGCAAGTAACACACTTCCCTTAAAGGATTAACTGAATAATAAATTAGATTTTACCATAAATACATGTAGCATACACTTTCTTGTTAGAGATAAAAATATAATCAATATAAATATTGGAAACATGATATAATTCAATAATGTTGAAAAATCCATTACGCATTTGAAATAAAAATGAAGATATTAATAATAATAATATAGAGTACACATAGCATTTCATAATGAGGTCGACTTGACTGATTACAGGAAGCACATGGACCGAACCGAGCAAGAAAAGCGAGGCCAACATCTTTTTCCGTCGAGTTTATACTACATTTGTATATAAACTGGCGTATTCAAAAATTGAGTGCGATTACTTGATGTTGAATAACTGCGTGCATGCATTCCTGAGGTAACACAACACGTGTCTGCGATGTATATTGTATTTATATTATGATTGTAATTGAGGTATACATGAATTAACGCACTCTTGTCTGCGACAAAATGGCTTCAAAATGAAACCCGTACACATACAGTATATCAAGTCTTACAGATCATTTCAATATTTGAATTTAAGGACTGTGTTTGTTTTCAATGCCACCGTGTGCAATTTTATACTGTTTTAAGTTTTCTGAAATCCACCATTGATCGTTATCTAGACCATTTAACATTAGGTACACCCAAATAAAATCTAAAAGGCAATAACTATCTACCTCTCAGTGTTTTATCACAAACTTCAAATGTTTCTTCATGTACTTCAAGTCCCTCCGTTGATGTGACGTTCAGTATCTCTTCTTCACTTCGTCCGAGTAAACGTTTTAGAAGCGTGGTCTTGCCGGCTGCAGCACATCCTACAATCATCCCCCTGGCATGATGTATCGTTTGTGTTCCTTTATTGGCGTACTCTGTGTATCGCTCTCGTGCCTTTTGACCCCATTCTAATACTTCTTGGGGTACCTTTACTGTTAAAAGTATAAATTTTGCATATTTCAGATTGTTTAGAAATTCATGCAACTAAAATATTTTTTTCGAAAGATTAATCAGGAAGAAAGAGTTAATTAATGTTGCATATATACCATACATGATCTAAAGGCTAAAATGTGCTTGTCTTATCCAAATTTGCCCGTTGAAAATGATAGATTGAACCCAGACAGATATATATTAATGGGAAACAAACTTACAAATATCTATGATTTTCCCTCTAAATGTAGAATCGGACAGCATTCGTCTATGCAATTTGATCACAGCAGTCTGTTGCTTATTTATCACAAAATCGTATAAGTCCAATGGAACATAAAGACATCTTTCTCCCTCACATTTTTCTTTCTCCCATGGCCAACAATATTCGGCTATAACGTGAAGAGAGGCTATAGTAAGGAAAAATTTCAGATCTCTCTCTTCTACCAGGCACTCTGTCACAAACGCATACATAATGTCATGCTTAGCATTTGCTGTCTGAAATGTAAGAGTATGGCCGTCTCTTTTAATGATGTCCTCTGGAAAGGCAATCCCATTAATATCGTTAAATAATGATAGCTCTTTGAAATATCTGTCTCTTAACGTGTTCAAAACAATCATATGGGATTGTTCATGGATATCTAGTCTGTAATCAGCCAGCAACAGAAGGCAGTAGAGAAGACATCTAACTTCAGGTTGATATGAGTGGTATTGGCCTGAAATTAATTTTCTTTTATTTACTCTTTTCAAACTTAAATATATTTCACAATTTATTTTACGGATATGATACAAAAGTTTTAGAAAAGAATTGCAAATGAAATAACAGCAAATGATACTGAACTGACAAACTGCTGTGCCGTCTAAGTATATGATGAAGTAATTGTGTTTTTGTTTGAGTTATGAAATTTATTTTTATTTTTGATACATATCAAAATATAGGGAACATAAGACGCATTTCAACTGATGTGTACATATCTCCGATAGAGTTTATTCCGAGAATGTTTTTTGTACCTATGAACAGAAAATCTCAGCATACTCATGTTCAGGGATGCCATTAAGACACTAACGAATATGAAATCCCTCGACATTTCTGATATTGTACAATCCTTTAATTATGTCATGTGTTTAGGGCAAGAAAAAGAACACATAATAGCTTAGATCTAGCTAATATGAGCGGTTGAAAAGTTCTGTTTACTTTCTTCTCTTCAAATATTATTCAATCGCTAAGGTCCGCAGCTTTGTTAAGGCTTGAATAAGGGGTGGACCTCATTTATACGGGAAAAGTGTACTGTGACGTCACACAAAAATATGACTTTTATGTATTTCTCATAGTAAAATGAAATAGTTTGCAACTTTTAACTATATTTGCAAAATAAACAACAATAAAACCTTTCAATGCATTAAAAAAACTTGCTGGATAAATCCAATGCATGTAGCTTGTTATAAACAAAGCACTGATTGCGATGAACTTGTAAACATGACGTCATTTAGGTAGAAATGACGTATTTCATGTGCTGTGAGAGGCAGATTGAGGAATATTTTTACCAACGAAATATGCTTTTCTTTAACGGAACATTATTTACATGTTTTAAATTGTCGATTAATACCTATGTACATGTATTTCCTTTGTTTAGAGCGATTATTTATTAATTATCAAGAGAATGTATTTAACCAAGTATGTCGTGTTTTTATGTGCAGGTTACGTATATTTTGCAATGAGATGCCTCATGAAATCGTAAGGGCATGCACTTAATAGATCTTAACCATTTTTTAAATATAAATAATGGATATTTTTCTTATCTTGAAAAGTGCTGCTGCTTTCTTTAAATCGGTGGTGTAATTTTATAAGTACACAAAAGTTTTGGTAAAAGTCAAACATATTTCGACATTGGCTTCTTTACTTTAAAATCTAACTATCAAAACTTGAATCTTATTCAAAGCAGCAGCACTTTTCAGAAACTACAAAATTATGCAGAATCATTTAATAACTTGAATTTTTAATTTCAACTAGGGTATGCCCTTGCGATATTGAAATTTGTTCATGACCTACATTCAGTACACGAATTATGAATTTATCACGTGACTGTCCATCGATGGGACCAAATTTCACACAGTACAGAGTGGGTTATGCTATGCTTTTTCTATAAATTTTTCTCTTCTGTGATAATGACACAGCTTAATTAAAATAGATTTAGTTTTAAGGTGGAATGCCACACCAACTTTTTATTTTATAGATCTTTGAGTCATCCTTCTTAAACAATGGTTTCAACATTGAAAGGCCCATATAAGCTCTTAATTATTTTATATGATTTTTTTTTATTTTTTCAAAGAAAATGAAAAAAAAGTATTTATAACCATATAAGTTGTTTTCGAGTTAAAAGTTTGCTGTAAATGAATGCACCATATAAATATCTAATAAATATGTAATAAAAGTCTGGTAAGACTTTTTAAATTTTTTAATAAAAAATAATTTATGAAAATGAAACACATTATTTGTGAATATTTTTTAAACCTATGGTTAAAAACACCATAAAACTAGTCACAACTGAGGACAACATGTTTGTCAATCATATTTATAAAAGAAATTGAAACGAAATTGAGAAATTTTAGAGAAATAAATTTTTTGACATTTGGACCTAACCCGATCAAAATTAGACTGATCCCGATCAGAATTAACACAAAAGGAAAAATATACTAATTTATTGCCTCTTCATGTATTCATAATGAAGAAATATATTTATGATTAATGAACATGTTCTCCCCAGTTGTGACTGGTTTTTAAGACGATTTTAACCAATAGTTTGAAAAATATTCACAAATTTTGTGTTATATTTTCATAAGTATGTTTTTATTTAAAATTTTTAAATATCTTTACGGCTTTTCTTTACATATTTTATTAGGTATTCATGTGATGCATTCATTTACAGAAAAATTTTTACAACAAAGCAACTAATTTGCATGTAAATAATTTTCTTCATTTTCTTTGAAAAAATACAAAAGAATTCATATAAAATAATAATTGATAGCTAATGTCGGCCTTTTAATGCTGAAACCATTGTTTAAAAAGGTTGACTCAGAGATCTATAAAATAAAAAGTTGGTGTGACATTCCTCCTTAAAAAATCCCTTTTCGCACGTGTATTTTCCGTTGATTTCAATTGCAACGACAGGCACGGGAAATATACTGTGGTCATTAAAATTTGGACTACCTTTGCAGGAAACTTATGCTTAACTTTACTTAGTGCAAATCAAACACAGATTTACCAATGCTTAACCTTTATCTGGATGTATGTACATGTTCTAAATATTCACATATGAAATTCTTGTGAGATGACTCTTCATTGGATAACATTAACTTTGACCTTTTGACCTTGAGTTTGATCTTTTTCTTAAACGCAAACCTTGACCTACATAGAATGTTATCTTTTAATTTTTTAAGGTTTTATGGTAATAAACATGTTCAATCCAGCCTTCCTTTATAGATTTTGTCAAATCAAATGTTTTTACTATTCTCAATGCATAGGAGAATGTTGCTAAAATGGGCCTTTATTTTTTTCGATCATAAGTTTTCTCCAAAAACTTTTTATTTCATAAGGTTTATACATGAAATACATTGTTGAAATCTTATTTCCGATTACTTGCATTCACATTGACTGGAAATGCAAATATTGAAACAAAAGAAAACGGGGAATCGATAGAATCATTTCATTTTCCCGTACATAAATGAAATCATTTATTTATCATGTTTTGGTTTAGTTTCACTTTCACACACTGCTGTCAATAGTATCCAGCTTTAATTAGTCCTATATATGCACGTGCAACCGATCGAGTAGATGTATATATAATCTGTAGTGCTAATAATCTTAGTGATCATGCTAAATATGACCTTAAATTCCTTGAGCATATTCTTAGCTGAGTAACAGGCTTAATTTCCATTGCATAAAAATTCTAAGTAACATACTTACACGTTGCGCACGGTGTTGATACTATAATATCTAACTATTTATGTCGCAAAGAAAATGGAGGTTTCGCGATGTGACATATTTACTTTAAATTAAAAATAAAATCATTTATGTTATCTAAAGTAATGAATAATTCTCAAAATTTTCTTTTAAATAATTTAAAATTATTCTAACTATGATGAGGCGTTACTCCAGTTAAGCCTGTTACTCAGCTAAGAATATGCTCAAGGAATTTAAGGTCATACGCAACGTAGTTTTTACTTTATTGGGTTCTTCAACAGGTCGAGACCACTACCTTTTATGGAAGGCAATTTTCAACACGTGACGATGTCTCCGTCACGCCCGATCTCCAATCAAGTGAAAGAGTCCCAAAGCATAACAGTCTACCACGTGTTTACGATTCAATGGCTACACGTGGTTTTCATCGGTTTACTGCACAAAATTTAACTCGTCACCGGAAAAACTTTAGAGCATCTTTATAACTTTTTTAGACCGAAATTGAAAGATTATATTCTAAAGACACTGCTCCATGCTCACATTTAATATTGGAGTTGTTTTAGATGATTAACAGTTGCTTCGAATATCGTACAAACGCTTTGACTTTTGCATATACATAAAACACTTTCTGATAATATTGAGGGGTTAAATAATAATTGCACACTTTCTCCTGCTGTCTAAAACAAGGACCTATATATTACCTGCGAAAGCTATGTACACGTATATCACGTGAAAAAAAACCTCAATGTTTTATCGACACGATAACACTTATACTAGTAAATACGTCTCTTTGAACAAAGGTATACTGACCGATGTATTATAAATTGATATAAGGCTTCATACAGCAAATTTTGTAAATGTGAGCATAAAAATGAAAGATTATGCATTATTTTAAATATTTCTTTCACAAATTTCAAAAAAGAATTGAAAATAAGTTTCCAAGGGACAATTCAAGTTGCCTTTAATTTTCAACACGGCTAGGTACTTGTAGTAGCCCACAATGCATTGCGGCTCATTCAGCAGTAGGTAAAGTAAACATTTTAGCTAATTTACATGCAAATTTATTCTGACGTCAGAAAATCTAGTGGTCTCGACCTGTTCAATGGAGTTGAAGAGTTTCACTAAATGAAGGACATATGTGCAATATTTTTAAAGTATATATATATATATATATATATATATATATATATATATATATATATATATATGGATTTGTATTCCTCTTCTAAAACAATTTTGACGAAAAAAAATCTGGAATTCATGTTTTATAATTTTTTTTATTAATGTAAATGTTTTTAAAATTCTGATATCTTTTCAAAACCCCTGGTAAGGCATGCAGAGTTTTTGTCCAAGAACATATAATGGAATTATAAGTTTAAATTTAGAATATCTAGAAAAATTATCAGTAAGTAAGGTACGTTGCGTATGTCCTTAAGCATATACTTCAGAAAATTCTTAGAATTTTTATGTAAACGAATACTGAACTCCTGACCCAGGGGTCATGAAATTCACAAAT